TTTCTTCAGCGTCTGAACAACATTTTGTTATCTGAGTGTCCCTGAAAGCCAGATGTGTAATTTTCTAGGTGGATAAACTCAGCCCTTGTTTTGCAGCTGATGGAAAAAAGTGCATTATAGCTATCAGTGACATTTCCCATCTGTGTTTCCTCAAGAACTGTCCACGATACCATGTCTTACTGACTGCATAAGCCAAGAGCTCCCTCTAGCACCACAAGAGAAATAATGCAGTTAGGCAGTGCTAAACGAAGAGAAAAACTTTGTAATGAATATCGGAAAAATACTGGAGTTCTGCTGCTTTTCTTCACTTTTGACCAAAGTGTATCTTAGGAGTCAGCTGTGTGCACATAGCTAAAGCACAGACATCTTAAGAATTAAGAGGCAAACATATGTACAGGGTAGGAGAATGCAGGATCTTTTTTTACACGCTTACTCATAAATCACAGGTGCAATTGCACACAGCCATCCTGGTCATGAGTTTTCTCAAGGCAAGCGCAGACAACTTTGGTCAACAGTTTCTATGGAGGGAGACCACTGTGACCACTGCAAATGTAACCACTGTTACCAAGAAAGACATAAAAGAGGAAAACAGAAAAAAATGAACTTAAACAATAGGGGATGAAATAATCCTGTAGAGCATCTCAGATCACAATATTCAGGCTGATCCTTATGCTGTTTTTCTAACCATTACTTTCATTTTACAGCATTTGAAAGCAGAACATAAGACCCTCTTAGCTGTGCAAAAGCTCATTCAGGAGTACCTAAATTGTCTTGAGTGATATACATGAGTGAGTCTGTGACTAATTTATAGCAGCTTTCAATGACTGATTGGTACAGAAGATGCAAGAGAAGGTAACAACCATGCTAAACACCAAAAGCTCTTCCAACACACAAGTGAGTAGATGAAACTTCAAGGAAGTGACCACTTTTGTAAAACAGCTGTACATATATAAATAGTTTGAGGGTCTTTTTTGTAAACTACAAGAGCTGTCACATCACTTGCACGTTACCGAATTGCTCAAAATGATTTTGTACAATTGCTCATAATAAGTATTATCAATAAATAACTTTGACAAAAAATAACCACCCGTGTGTATAACTATGCATGTGTGCACTGTGCGAGGCTATACTTTCTTTTGCAGACTCCAAAAGTACAGTCACTTCCTAAAATTTGCTATTTGTCTAATGTATAGAGGAGCCTACTGCTGAAAGAGCTCACAACAACTTAAGAAGAAACACTACTAACGTGGTCTACAAGAGTGCACCCGTCCTTGCCCAAACCACACCACACTCCCTTTCAAATCCTGGTGGCGTAAATGGCCAGCACCCCTCAAAAGCCTAGTACTAGAAAACAGACAGACTGGAGTAAAATATATTCAAACAGTCCGAAGGAAGACTGGGAAAGCACTTCTCCCTCAGCTGGATGATGAGGGAGTTGTATCAGCTGCTAACACTAAGCTTTCACCTCTGCTTTCTTTCAGATTTGTTCCTGGAAGTCTTTTGTGCTAATACGAAGACAGAATATAAATCTGGCTCATGACCATCTTCATTTCCTTCCTAGTTCTCTCACCTGCTGAATATGGGGATGGTGGTTGTGTTCCCTGCCAACAATCAACAGCTCTGCAGCTGTTTTCCAAACAGCAGCACCTTCAGCCTGTTTCATTTGCTTGCCCCTATAGATGAGGAAAAAGAAAATAACTCAGCACAACACGGACCTTCCAGGGAAAGAATGAGCCCCCAAACCCCTACTTATTATTATATCACTTACCTACTGCTACAAAGAATAAAAATAATTTTAAAAAATGACTTAAAAAAAAAAATCAGCAGAAATGTTTCAGAGCATTTTGGATGCTCAGCTCTGTGCTACTCCCCCAATTCTGTCTGACACTGCTTGCCCTTGTGTATGATCATGGCATAAATGCAGATTAGAATTTCAAATTGTGAATTAGCAATGAGGACCCACTAGCCAAAATAAAGATAATCTGCTGTACTCATGCATTATAGCAGATCAAGTCAAGCAAATACAGATAAAAACAGGGAAAATAATTATTTATACGTAATTGAATTATACATTACAATATATGTAATACATAATTTTACGCAATTATTATATATACATATGCATATACATGTAGATTTATATGTATATAATACACAGATATACACATACACACAATTTGTTGTGCCTATTTCTGTGTTTAAGCAAAACAGTTAGTGGGGAATCTCCTCTTTGCATCATCCATCAGTATATCAGCTAGCAAGACATTGAAGAATGAACATAATTTTAGGCACGTAATAAATACGAAGCATCATTGACTCATAGCACTTAATTATACTACATTTGTATATGTCAGTCAAAGCTCTTTGGAAACCTAGCTGATCTTTACCTTTGGGGCATAAGATTACTTTAAAAAAAAAAAACAACACTTTTTGTTTATTTATTTATTTTTAAGTCCAAAGGTGACTTTAGCATTCTCTGGAAATCCTGTGCACTTCAAATTAACTACGGCTCTTTAGGTTTCTCTACTGAAAGCCCTTTCTGTTGCAGTAAGGACCCCATAGCTTATAGTGACTGAAAACAGGCACTTGTGTGCTAAAAACTACTGTGAAAGAAACAGGAATTCAGACATCACAAAAGCAAAACACAAATTAAAGACAAATTTAGAACAGCTTAAGTTTCTCTCTAGTGTCTTTTGATAATTACCATTGTTATTTGCAAACAAATTATTCATGTTAGCAAGTAGATGAAATGTATCTTGTCAAGAACTTGTGTATTGTGCTCTAACGTGAAAACTACCAACTGGATAAAAGAGATTCCACAGAAGGTGTGCAAAGCAGTTGAACACTAAATAAAAGCAGGACAAAGCCAAGAGAAACCAAATCCACCACATATTTGTATTTTATGAAGTGCTTTATTTACTGTTTCTTTCTGCAGTATCTTACTACTTTTGTTCGTAATCTCAGAATAAATGCCATCATATCATCAGAAGTGTTAGTCTTTGGTCAACATTTGAAAGACCTTACCTTACTAATGAGTATAATGCTGACTGACTGCAATGCATATAATATATATACGTATATTTTTTGATCACCTATCCATAGCAAAACAGTTCCATCCTGCAGCTGTTAGCTAATCTCGCTAGTGATACCTCAGATCATTTTGCAAAGAAGTTCATACATCTGAAAGAGAAGAGATATTTTTTTCATAAATTGAGCTTTCTGAAAAAAAGAAATATATATAAAGTTCTCTACGAAAATGTTGCTCTTTTTTTTACTGTTTGCAGCTAATAAACTTAGGCTACGGCAGTTGAATGTGGCCAGCTGGATTCCAGGATAGTCTTTGTAGCTGCTTTTCAAATGACAGGTGCCACAGTTTAATGACACAAACTACAGTATTCTAAGCCAAGTCACTCTGTTTGGTTCAAGTTCAGAAAATTTTTTTAGTATGCAAAAGACTTTTGGTAGATGTGGAACATGTATAACCATGTATACTTCCAGAGCAGCTGGTGGCTAATCATCCCCAGCTGACCCTGACAGTTAAAATATGGAGAAATACCTTCCCTTTGATAGTACCTCAAGAGACAAAATAATCAGTATATACATTTCTATCCATGGCCTTGACATAGACAGGAAAATTTAAGAAATAATTATACATTAAAACAATAATCAATAGTTAATTATATTGGAAGACATTATTTAAAGTTACAGTGACAGTGCAATCCTTTTTGAAGCTCCTCCTCTAATTTCTTAGCTAAGAAGTCCTCTCTGTCCACCACTGATAGCTTTACATCCTTCATACAGACAGCCCTAATAATTTGCCACGTTCCTTTTAACAGAGAATCTTCCTTTCATGGTGAGATATGGAGAAAGGGGAATAAAAGAAAGACTAATTTAGCTAATGATAGGAAGTTATCAATTGATTTTCTGTTACAAAGAGTGCCCCTATCAGAAATCAGCAAGTGAATCATCTCCCCTAATATCCAGCCTAGACACCCTTAGTGGAAAGCAGCAGATGTTTTTGGTAGGTGATATAAGAACCCATATACAAAACTTACATTCCAAGGAAGTTCCCTTCTCATTTCAACAGGAAATTACTCTCTGAAAAGCACTGGGATATAGATCTCATCCCCAGGCTCTGCTTATTTCTTTTCCAGTGCATGGCCTAACAGTACTTAGACCAAAGAAGCCACTCACCCCAAGCTTTATCCCCTTCTGAAGCATAGATATAACACTCTGAAGATGCTGCTACCATCCTCATCATCAGCAAGAGCAACACTACCAGAATAGATGAAGGAGAATGTACTGCAGCAGCATAATTTTCTCAGAATGCCTCCCCTACATTTAAACCTGTAAAACACAAATATTGTTTGTACTCTCCAGCAGAAATGTAATAGGCTAGGCAAGTTCCTTAGTTGATATCACAACTGAGATTTACTACAGTGAAATGGTGAACAAGCAGAAATTGGAAGGCCCAGCCAGAATGTATTTAGAACTACAAGCCCCAGTTTAAACATCATGCACTCCTTTCTATACATAGAATGATTTTTTAAAAAGTAAAGTGTGATCAATTTTGTGCCTTGCTTAAAGGACTCAAAGTAATATTTGCTTGCAACAATCAAAGAGATCACTATTTGCCATTATGACTTGAGATCAAATACAAGTTTTCAGTAAGTACTTGTGGGATTACCCAGGAAGCACCGTTAACCATGTAAGAATTTACTCCAGAGAAGCACCTGCCATGAAGAAACACTGTCATTAGACCCATCCATCTGAAACAGTTTAGACATCACTCATAGTCCACTATTTCCTAGGTTAAGGAATCCTGTGAGGTTCATACCTCAGATGATGGACAAGCTGTGGTAGTTGCATTGTCCACTTATCCACTCTTCCACCCCCCCCCCATCCCCTCTCAACAGGCACAGAAACAGGCTGAAAAAGCCATAGATTCAAAGATAGGGAGATCGCTTATCATTTAAAGTCATGAGCAAAACAGATTCAACTTGGGGAAAATCAATTTAATTTATCGCCAGTTAAAATAGATTTGGATAGTGAGAAAGAAATGCCAATTAATGCAAAACCTTCCCTCTCACCATGCACTTTTAAAACTAGTAAAGCCCTCATTTCTCAGATGATCTCTTCTCAGTAGGAAGTCAAGCAGTTCTCACCTTCCTCCATCTCCTTCCACATACAAAAACTCAGATGCAGTAGCAGCTTTGTCAACAATAAAAAAGACAGATGTTATACCAGCTTGCATTCAGAAGATAACTACCACACTGAAGATAAAGCAAATACACGTGGTTATCGTTCTAGCTTTTACTACATGTGAGCTCATAGCATAAATAGCACTAAGATCAGCTATAAACAACTGCTTACCATAAAAATGTTTACCATTCAAAGTGAACCACTTCAGTCAGAAGAAACTGCAATCCTGAGCTCCATCTTTGATAGCCTTCTATCTCCTGCAAGCAGCTTTGTACAAACTTAACTTCCTCTTCTGCTTCCAATCTGGATTCTTGCTGGTTTTATCTGGAGCACTCTCAGAGGTAAGCAATCCTAAGAAAACATCCGACAACTAGTGAACTAAGAGATGAAAGTAGGAGACAAGGAGGAAGCACCTGCACTCTTCAGAGAACTGGAGTGTCATTTGTAAGAAATACAGAATTTCTAATTTTTCACTCTCTCACTTAATTTTAGTTTTAAAAGAAATATCTGAGAAACAGTTACATTTATCTCTGAAAGAACAGCACCTCAGTAAAGTAGAACTGATTTTTTACGATAGTTCTTCAGGAAATAAAAAATGGACACTCAGATCTAGGATAGAAACTAATTTCCAGGAAGATTTCTGACTAATTAGCAAACCCACTGTTAAACTTTAAGAGTAGGTATTTTTTCTTTTTCTTGTGGAGAGAGGGCTGGTGATGAAGGAGTTCAAGGTCTGACCAGTATTTCTCCTCATGTTGTTTATAAAAAAGGGTACACTATGAGAAGCAATGATGCTTGCTTTTAACATTACACTCTTTGATTGCTTATTCTTTCTCTCAGCTCCCATTCCTAACACAGCTTAAATACAGCATGTTTGAGTGTGGCTGTCCTACATGCTGTCAGTTCACTCAGCACGGACACTCGGACACTGTCCATCATGTTTTAATACAAGTTGACTTCCATTTCCCCTGATGGTGGAAAACAGAATTCCACAAGCTATGCTTGAAGAGATAAAAATGAGCTCTACAGTCACTGAGATCACAAACGCAGCTGACATTCTTGGAGTTGGGAGAGAAAAAAAAAAAAAAAAAAGATTTCTTCTGCTCAAGAAGTACTGCAGGATACACACACAGCCTCAGAGTTAGTCCCTAGCTCAGTTAGGCCACAAACTTGAGTGACCAAATTCAGTTAAAGGCTTTCTCTTCTTTCTCTTTTTCTTGAGAACTGGCCATTTGTGATATCATTGGTTTCACTAATACAATAATATAATATCAACTCCAAGTGCAAAGAAAATTTGTTTTACAATTTACCCATCTCTAGACTTGATGTGACCCAGTCATTCATGAACAAACTCTAGTTCACAGATGTTGTCACTGACTTGCTGTTAGGTGACAGGTCAGATAATGCAAATGCAAAGGAGGTACCCTCTTGTGATGGGGAAGGTGGTGAGAACAAGGATTCTGACATCATTTATTTCCATCCCCACTCTAGTGTGTGTTTGGCTCTACAACTGCTGTGCTTTTTCTTGTGCATACTCTAAACACACTGACCTGTATATGGGGCTGCACTTCTCTCCCACTGATCTCCCCTGACACACAGAGCTCTGTTTCCGTCCCTCCTTCGCCACTTGATTGTCCTGATTACATTTTAAATAATACGTAGAGGCAGACTATTCTACAAAGACTAGAAGCAAAGTCCCAGATCTCTGCTGGAACCACTGAATACAAAACTTAAACAAAGAACAGACGTGAAATATTGATAACATTTGAATGTTACTCATGCTCTATCGACACCGTGATGCTGCAGGAAGCTGAGTGTATTATAAAAATAACCGAATGGCAGATCCAATAGTATGCAAATGTTTGCTTTCAAGTTCCTTCACACTGAGAACACAAAACTCAATACTTACAAATAACCATGCTACAAAAAGATTTTCATCCTTAACAATCTCTACTAGAAAAATGAGAAGGAAGAGCAAGAAACCTAATTTGTTTTGAGCAGCAATTTCTTGATGGAACAGAGAGTCATTAACAAGAGCCAGCACATTACTAAGTGAACTGCACTGTAGATTGCTAACAATGATAGTAGTAAAAACATGAATTTCAGTTATCTACATAAAGGGCTTGATTATATGCTCCCTAAAATACATGCATCATTTAACTACAGTCAAGCGTAACTAAAACTGTATTAGTCAACCACACAAGCTTCTCAATGTTTTTAGTTTCTTTAATGTATACAAATCCATGTGCATATATTAATTGAAACCCCAGTATGGAAAAAAGTTTTGCTCCAGTTGTCATATACATGCCTTTTGCAAGGTTTTTTCTATCTAGTATAGATTAGTGGACAACTGGTTAGTGAGGTTTTACTGCTGCAGCACCCAATGCACTTAATTTTCTAGACAGGGAAGACCCCTTGGGAGAAGAACACTTAGTACTTGATGTCAGAAAGCTTTCAAGGATTTTTAACCTCTTACTGCACTAGAACAGGATGTGACCCTATATGGCAAACACCTACTAATACCCCCTATGATAAAGTATTACTGTTATTATAATTCCTTTGAAGACTCCTCAGAAAACACATCAAATCACTTTAAAAAATAAACATGTAATTTGTTAGATGGGTTACAAATGGAATGATAGTAAGACGCATCATCTAGCTCTAGAAAACCAACCCACCCACACTCCTGTCATGTGATACAATTTTTGCCTTCCCTCTCTTCCCACAAATCATACCTTAGTTGGTGCTTGTTGGAAAGACCTGCTGGATAGCTTCTGACCTAAAAAAGCAACACAGTGTGTTTTATATGTGCCTTTTTCATCCACTAATGGGTTGTATTGATATTATCATCATGAATGGAACAGGTTCACATGTTTACTCATAAGAAAGTTTGCTTGGCAGGGAAGGGTAGACCAGGAAGAATCTTCTCAGTGTTCCATGAAGAGTAGTGCCTTTCCAAAGCCTCATCCTCAGCTACACTGCACTTCCTATCCCAGATTCCTTCTACCTAACCTAAGAACACATCTGTTTGAACAGGTGTACAGGAGCATATTCTGAGTTTGCCAACAGCAAACTCAAATGAACAGCCAGCTACTATCCATACCAAAATGGATGATTAGTCACAAAGCAAGGATAAAAAATAATTAAAGGAATACATGAACTTAGAATCCAAAGGAGACAATCAAAAACTGACATAAGCAAACCTTTACTCATGCAGTGAAGTCATTAATTACTTTCAACAACATAATGACGAAAGAGGACAGAGCACTTGGATCGAAGCCCTAATAAATGTGAGGAGAGGTTTGGTTGGAGTGTATTTGAGGTAGACAGGGCAGCAGTCAGAGGGATGAGGGGAGCATCAAGTTAATTTAGATGGGAAGAAAAGGCATTTTCCTTGGTAATGTGTAAAGAAGAGGCATCTCCTGGGTTTAAACCCTAAGAGCTGTTTCTTCATCAGACTAGGAGAAGATATTTAATTGCCTTTGGCACTCCCCAAAACTTAAGCAGCTGTTGGTTCTAAGGACAAGACAGGCTTTTTCTCTCACACGTGTATATCTTCCCCATGAACTCAGCCCTCCCTCACTCTACTACCCCAGAAACTGGATCTGCACTGGCCCTTTCCAGGGCCAGGAGCTCCCTCCAGCTCAGCCCTCCTCACAGGGACGTCTCCTTTCATACGTGCAGGACTTTCTTCCTTCTATCAAGTCTCCCTGGACTTTGTCCTGCTTGTTCTCATTACTACACAGCGACCACTGCCCTTGTAACTCTTGTATTTCTCCCCATGAATACCCATAATCACAACATAGACCACTTTTTTAAAGAGAAAGTAGTTTACATTTGAATAGAAGTACTATACATTAAATTACTGTATAAATATATATATATATACACATACATATATAGACATTTGTGGCTCTAAATTTTGTATAAGCTGCAACAATCTTTATACCACACAAGCAAATTTGGGGTTTGAACAGTGCAAAAAGAAACAAACCTGTGCACTCATTAACACCACTGGTTTCCATCCAAAAGGATACCATTCTGGGTAAGAGCTATAGATATGTGCCTTCTGGTGTCTTTTCTATGCTTTTGCAAAAGACTTTTTTGCATCCATATACATAAGCACAGCCCTTCTTGTAAAGCCAACCAACCACCATTACAGCAACCAAGAATGAGAGTAAACTGGAAAAGAATTTGCTCATTTACAATGCCATGGAAGCTCAGGATTTCTATGTTTGCAAAACAAACACTTGAACCATAACAGTCACAAGAAAACAAAGTAAACATCAGAAAAACATTTGCAAATCCAACTTAACCCCACAACCAACTACTGTGCACCAAGCTACACAGCTTTCTCAGGAAACAAACAAAAAACAATCTTGAGTATTCTATTCAAACAAACTGAAGTGCATTGAAAGTGCCATTGTTAACCTGTAATTTTTTTCCTGTACGCGTGAGATTTTTTTCCTGTAAGTTTTAAGTGGACATTAGTGAACTAAGTTGTTTATCTGAATACAGATGCTTAAACGTGTGATCGGCCCGTGCTCTCCATCAGCAACATACACAAAGCAAGAGTAAACATACCTTTCAAACAGGAAACAAACTTAAAAGGCAACTCAGTAATAAACTGGAATACACATGTGGAAGATGAAGTGGAATTCTGTGAAAGTGAAGGAAACTATTGACCAAAGCATTTCAAACAAAATTTTCCTAGGAACAGAATTGCCACTTTCATACCCAGCTTTTGCACAGTCTACATCATCTTCAAATTTCTCCCAACCTTTTCTTCTGTTGTTTTCAAGGTATCATGGAAATCAGGATCAATTATAAAAAATAACATTATGGTCTGTAACTCGAAACAGATTACAAAATTTCCATAAGCTATGAACACTAAACAAAAAATAGAAGTACCCTCAGAAACATTGTTCAGCACAGGATTAGCTTGTAGCTACTGGTAGGAAGAACTAAGCCAATTAAAAAATAAATCTGTTGATGAGAGAACTAAAGCAAGAACCACTGGAAATAAAACTTCTTTCCTCAAGTTTTTACACTGGCCATAAGCACATTGATTCCTTTGAAAACAAACAAATAAACCAACCAAAACTGAAATAACCCATTGCTGGTTAGCTGTAACTTGTTTTGAGAATAAGCACTTTCAAAAATGAGAAGGGATTCTTAAAGAGGAAAATAAATATAACAAGGCAAAAAAAATTCTGTGGAAGAAGTGGAAAAAGGCAATATACTTTGGAATATATTAATTTAAGACAAACAGATGGTGGTGGAATCACTGAGCAGTGTGGAATAAGGTACCCATCCTGGTATATAACAACTACATTTGAAAAGATGACTACTGCCTCCAGAACGCTGAGTGCAGCAGAGAACATCCATTCTAGACATACTTTCACAATTAACAGGAAAAAAAACCCACCACCACCACAAGGGTGAATCTCAAAGGATTTACCTACCCAGAAATGAGTAAGGCATACCACAAAACAAGTCCATGTAGAAACAAGTATCAGACACTCCAAACATCTGAAGATTCTCTATGCACTTGCATGATGAAACACTGGCTCTTAGTATTTATCATCTGTTGGAAAGTTCAGATTTAAGCTAATCCATAAACATTAACCTTAAAATTAACAGTATTAACAGCAATAGTTAATTAACCTCACAGAAGTCAGTACATGTTTATGTTAAGACTACAACATAACTATCTAACAGATGCTGCTTACAGAGGTATTAGGAACCCAATTTCAACCAGCGACTTTCCAAAGTTTTAGCTTTAAAGACAGTAAAGAAAGTTAAAAATCAGTTTTAAATGGCCACTGTTCAAATGAGGTTTGTGAATGCCTTGAATGCATATTAATAAATGTAGTAATTTCAAAACATTAATCTTTATGTTCATATATATACACACAATATTCCTAACATTTTCTCTCAGCATAAGTCCACATTTTTTTTATTGCTTTTTTAGAGTGGAGAAGAGAAAGTCTTCTGCCTGCATTCTTGTACAGCATGCAGAAAAATATCTAATTCTGTGATCAGTTTCTTAAACAATTCAAAAGGAACTACTCGTACTGCTATACACAAAATATTTTAGATGCTACTCTAAAAATTCAATGTCTGAAAAACCAATGCCACTGTTTAACTTGATACCTACATTGGCATCAGTTTCGTTTCACTTACTGCTTTAAATAGATTCCGTTTTTTTGTTGCTGTTGTTATTAAAGAAAGTTATCTATCACGGATCACACAATTCAACTTCTGTCTCTTATTATGACTTTGGCTTAAGTGTTGCCAAAAGGTACTACCCAACCATATTCAGTTTGATGAAACTTCCTGGTAACTCTTTTAAGTACTTCAGACCAGTTCAGTCCTAGAAGCTGCTATTACAGAAAAAAAAACAAGTTTGTTTCCTGAATGTTATGGTGACAGAACATATTGCTTGGATTTATATTACTTGCTTTGTTCTCTTGGGCCTCTCTGTTAGTAATGTATATGTAAGCCTCACAATCATGAACAGCAGCAAGTTAAGATAGACTCACAAATATAATTTAAGTGCATAAAGCAAAAGGTAGAGAAGCTGAAACTGCAGCATCAATTTTTCTTTTTTTTTTTTTTTTTCTAAAACAAAAAAACAAACCAAGACTACTTTTAGATGTAACAACCAACTATTGCTACAATACCACTGCAAAGACTGCAAGTGGCAACACAGATGTGGCACTTAGGTACGTGGTTTAATTGATGATCGGACTTGTTGATCTTAGAGGACTTTTCCAACCTTAATGATTCTATTGATTACAAAGCTAGAACAGGGTTAAAGACATCATAAGCTGAAAACATTCATTGTTACAATTCACAGATGTTTCTTCATCATCCAACTAAGTTCACCTGGCATCCTCACCTTTCTTCTCTCCTTGATCCTCACACCACTAACATGATCAGGTCAAAGCTGCATTTTCTTAAGCATCCATGTCCTTCACCATGTAGAAATGTAGTCTATTAGACCTTTGTTTTGTCACAAAACTATTGTGTTCATGAACTTTGTTGTTGGAATCCAGAGTCTGGGAGCTGGCAGATTCTGTAACTGTGTAGCGCTGTAACAGTTCGTGATCTCAAGGAGAAAAGCAAATCAAGCATTTTAATCCACTTTCTAACACTAACTGTGGAAGACCTTTAGAAATGCTGACCAAAATGGACCATTTGGATAGCATTCAAATTATTCAAAACACAAAATGAAAGAGAGAAGAGTTGTTTCACCTGGTAAGTGAACAGATTTGGAATTGGCAGTGAGTCACATCAGTTGTAAATCAAAATAGTTGTCTGTCAGAACTATTTAAAATATGCCCAGTCTGAATGTCACAGTACCATTTAAAAAGAATGGCATTATTTTAAGAGTACCTGCCTTTCTTCCCAAGGCATTTAGAGTCCTCTGACTTGAAAAATCCTTACAGCCTTCACAGATTTAAACAGAGGAGGATCTCTGGCAGTCTCTGATTTTATCCGGCTCCACAGACAGCGCTTTTTCTCTTGGCTCTTGTTTAACTTGGCTCATACAGATACCAGCCTCTGTATTATTTTCATCTTAAAACAGAACAAAACAAAACATTAAAGTCCAAATAGCACCGATAACACTTCAGCTCCAATAACTGTATGCATTTAAAAGAAAAAGACACATTGTTGCTTACCAAATAAACAATAAAATATGTTGATTTAAAAATGACCTAAACTTTGGCAAGATTGGCCTCTGTTCCGTGACTGCACGTGTGTTCTCATCAGGAAATAGCTTATTCTTAGGCTACCACTTCAGATAAGAGAAAGGCTAGAAAATACAAAATAACTTCAACTAAGTGCATGTATACACACGGGGAGAAAAGCATCTTGAAATAATCACTGACTGAACTGGTGAGTGTTTCATCCAAATCAGCTCTGTAACATTAATTCCTCATCAATACAGACTTGTTTGTGTCCTCCCAATCTTCAGACAAAGAAATCTGGACTCTGCAACAGCAAGGAGGAGGATTGGTGTATTTTATGAGCAAGGCTTCCACCTAACTTAGGAAAGGCGCAGATATCCTCACGATTTCCAAATCCAGATGGTGATGACAGTTTAAGATCTGGAGCAGAAGTAAAAAGAAATCCCAGACGAACAGCGAGTGCAGTTCCTCCAGTTGTATGATTTAAATTTTATATTTGGCTAAATTTTTGTATGTAAACTAGTATTTAAAAATGTATATTAAATATTAACTATTATTTGAAAGGCATCTACATCTTGATTGCACAAATGGGCTAAACAACTGAGTGAAGGAGGTATATTTGATAGCCTCTCTTAAATAACCTTTACCCAGAAGGAAAAGTTTCTCATCAGAACAGTGAAATCCTATTATAACAAGGAAGAAGACAAGCTACAAAAAAAAATACAGCCAAGAGAAGAACTCTTACATTTAACTTTGACAATATTGCCACACAGAAATAACCTAATGATGATTTAAAAGACCTGAAAAAAAATTATTTATAAAGACTCCTAACCAAACTCAGTATTTGTTACTTTACACACTTACTTCTCCTAACAAAATTTGAAGATGAGCATTTTAGCTAAATGTTGGGATTTGGAGCAAAACAACAACTTAACAAGCTGGTATTTTGTCAGTGAAAGTGATTGCAAGTAGTTCAATTAAGTCTCTACTTTTATAGCAAAAATTACATAAATACATTTTACAGCTGTTGTGATCTTACAGTAAATATTAATTAGAATCAGCTGGAACAAACCTATACTGGAGCTCCCCTTAATCAGCACATTTATCTACTTTGTTTTAGGACACACAGAACAAAATCCAATGTATTTTCTATATTTACATGTATTGGGAAGAGTGCAACTTACGAAGTGCAGGCTGGCTTTCCACAATCTGTACTGGAATAGTCTGCACATCTCCCAAGAGAACTTGCTGGATTCCTCCTTCTAGGCTTCTGGAGTCCCCTTCCCTGTCAAGTGCTACCAGGTGGCCCATGGTGACCAGATTCTGATCAGTGGCAGGAGGAGTCCCAAAAGCAGAGGCAGTAGCACTGTGCTGTGCTAGGCCAGCACCTTTTTGCAGACTGTGCCCCTGACCAAGTACTGGAGGATGGTTGGTTACTGCACTCTCTATGGAATCCAAGAGATTTGCAGAATTGGAATGGGAATGGTTATTTACAGCTATCAGGGCTGTTGACCCATTTGTGGAGGTAAAGTTTGATTGCATCTGTAATCCCTGCAAAAGAGAAAGCAGAAGTACAAATATAATAGCATTTAAAGCAGAAGAGATTTCTATTTGAATAACACATTTTGCAGTGCTGGAACTGGAAAGGTTCTGACCTTCTATACATCATCTCTTTTGAAGAGTCAACTTCAGCATCTGCAGATTATACTTGTTTCAGGAAACATAGCAGACAGTGGTGTCCAGCAGCATCTAGAAAACTACTAAGGACCATAAAAATCTAATTTTGGACAGATACTGAGTTTCAAATCCTTCCTCAATACATGGTTATGCCCATGAGGGATGTGCACTAAAAGCTAAGTATACTGGTTTAAAGGATAGCGGGGTGTGAAGCCAAGGTGGCTACCTTCAGCAAGAGAAGCAAACAGCAAGCAGAAGAGCATTTCACTGCAGGTTGTATCTCTACGGAAGAGATTATGACCTTCAGGAGATACAAGGGTAGCTTAGGAAAGACAGTTAAGAGAGACAGGTTTGAAGCAATATGAACTTCAGAAGAAACTCCTTAAGCATGGTATACTTAGCCCTGCACCTCACCTTTTCAATCTGGAAGTCTTATGTTTCTGATCTGGGAACAGTTTTAGGATTCTAACAGATTTTCCCTTACAAGGCTGGAGAAAGATTTAAAAGGAATATGATTGACATATCCTTCCTCAACTTTGCAGCATTGTCATCATGAAATGACTGGAAAGTGTGTGAAACTATTAAGGTGATTGATTTGAGGCAGAAACTCACTTCCACACCTTCTTGGTTTTGCCTTCACAAAGAGGCCACAAAGCAGAGGAATCTCCTGCACTACAACTAGATGCCAGTTGTGCAATATAAGAGAGGCCAAAGTAGGACTTGAGAGCTATTTCTAAGTCCACATTCCCTCACAGCCAGTGTTTGGGATCAGTAGTTGAGAGGAAACTTGATATTTATAGCTTCCTTCAGTTCTCCCAACAAAGAACACCTGACATTCTCTAAAAAACTTGACCATACCTGAAATTGTGCAAATATCTTGGGCTGAAGTGAAGAGAGAGAAGACAACAGCTGAGCTTTTTCTGATAGCAGGGTCTCTGCGCTCTGGTTGGATTCTGCTTTGGTGATGACTGACTCCCCTGGTGAGCTTCCTGCAGTACCACAGACAGTAAGCAGACTGTTAGAACTGTTTCTTCCTTGTTTAAAAGCCTCCCCTGTGAATGGAACAAGCCAGGCCCCTTCAATCTCAATATGGATGTAGTTAAGACATGTCTACACACACATGCTCTTCTCTTTTGCAGAAGAGCTTGGATAGTAAAGAAAAAAAAAAAAAAAAGTTTGTTACAAGAAAAAAACATCATAGGAAGACATCATAAGAAGATGTGCTAACTATTGCAAATGAAAAAAGTATTCTGGACAGCAACATAATTGCTCCCTACTCTCTGTGTTGTATTCCTAATTCTAAAATAAAAGTTGAAACATTTCTATCAAAACAGCAATCTTATAATGTGACCACACAGGCACCTTCAGTAAGGGCTCAATAACAGGCAAGCATTAAAAAGTTGGATTCCAAATAGAAACATACACAGAAAATCCAGCAATTCTTCTCATTCATTCCAAAGCATATTTGTACAATTAGGAAAACTTCTATGCACTATACACACATCAGGTGTAATTTTAAAGAAAGCCCATTTATCTGATGCGTAGAGATTGCATTGTATTCTCCAAATTCTTACTTACAGCAAAAATAATTGTCTTTATTTCCTTAAGACTTGGGGAAATCAAGACTTGCCACAATTTCTGCAAAAGCAATTCCAGTAGGATTATTCCATTCCTGTTTGAGATACCCAGGACTTTTTGGCTAAGATGTATACAGGCACAATTACATTACTGCTCTAATTTCTGCTTTGCAGTTTTACTGCTGTAACTATGAAAGAAGAGATTGCCATGTGCACGTGCATTAATCCATGGAATGGGAAAAAGTGAGAATCAAGTTTCAAAACGCTCTCTAGAAAAAAAATAGAAAAAAAAAACACACAAAGCTTCCATCCATCTAAGCAACTTGTTTCTCTAAGCAATCTAAGCAGCTAAGCAATATGTTCCTCATCATACATAATGAATTGTAAGCTCACTTTCTTTATCCTAACTGACAATAACATACGGTCTAAGTCTTACTGAATACAACCACTCCAAAGACTTGGTGTTTTTTAATATTATACAGAGATCCCATATGAATATGTGAATATTCACATGTAGGAAGAGAAGGCAGTTCTCTTCTGAGAATGTACTCTACACGATAAGCCTAGGTACGAATCTAACAGATCAAATCCAATTCTATCCAGTCCTTACACTGCATGGATATTTAGTATGAATGCCAGAAGTTAAACACATCCATGGTATTCTATTCCACTTGTCAGCATACTTCATGAGAGATGCAAAAGGAAACAGACTTAGGAATTCTGACAGCGATTCTTACACTTAGTAGTAAAGAGACAAAAAACAGTATTCTCTGATGAAGGATATTCCTCATATGCCTAGAATTCTAGTCAGAGGCATGGACTTCTGCACAGAAAATGAAACAAACATCTGGAGTTTAATTCTGTTACTGCTGGTTTCTTTGGTGCTGTACATGAACACATTTACACAAGTTGAAATAAAGAACAATACATACACAAACAGCAGTTTGAGAAGTCAGTACTGTTTTTCCCTTGCTACATTTTAATATTCTTGAGCATTTTAATATTCTTGATTTCTTCAAAGTGGGCTTCTTTTTTTCACATAGACATTTATTATAATTGTGTTTGCAGTGTGTGTGGACTCATCCTCACATAAATTTAATTGGAGACGAGATATGCTGGAGTTAGATTGTCTGCTTACATCCACTGAATTGGTGCACACGTGCAGAAAGCCAAACACATCCAACACTGTAACCTCCTCTAAAGTCAGAACCTGTCTGAATGGATGTTTACATCATTTTTCAAGGCAAGTTAGTCTATCAGATATCTGTGAAAGATGACAAGAACTGATCTTCCTGAACTTTCATCAGCATTCAGATAGTTTGTACCAAATTTGCCCTGCTCAGCTGTTGGAACCATCATTTTGTTTCTCTCCATAAAAGCACACTAATGGAAATATTAGCACAGCAGTGCAAGCTTAAACACAGTAAGTCTGTTTATATTGCAAATTGCAAATTCCTTTTCTAAAAAACAAGACTTCCTTAAAAAACAAAACAAAACATTCAAATTGAGCCTAAAAATCTACCTTTCATACTCTGATAGTTGTCGACACTGAATTTCTTGCTTTAAGAGTATAAGTGTACAGGACACTTCTCTGTTCAATTTTTGTAACAAAGACTATAAAAAGAGTTCAGAAACAAAACAGAAGCCCAACTTTAGCTTTATTCTAATTACTAATGCACTGGTGTACACAATATTGCTCAAGAGAGAAATTGCCCAGTGAGCTAGACTTCAAGGGGGTTTAAAAAAATATAGATCAGGAAGTGAAGAGGGCCAAAGAGGAAAGAAGTCCAAACATATCTACATTTCTTCAGGCAAGAAACCACAGAGGAGGTTAAGTTCTGACTTAGACAGATCTTTAATTATGACAACTGTGGCAGTGCACCTTTGATTCCCATAGAACTCTCTACCAGCTGTCTGGAAAAATAAACACCACATTCCAGATAAATGAGAAAACAAGCCAGCAGTGCTACTGAGATTAACAACATTAAGATAATGCTGCAAGTTTCTTAATGGAATGTGTGGAGATAATTAGGTTCATCCACCTTGCTGCAGTCACATTCCTGCTAAAGCCATCAAATTCTCTAATGAATCTCTTAACATATCTTTGTTAAACAACAGATGGGAAAAGCATCCACAAACATCCAGGGAAGTTCTTTCATGCCACACTGGGCAAACTATCCTTGAAACAGAAATATACTTCAAATCTAGGTAAAAAGGAGAAAATAATGTCATTTTAAATTTACTACCAGACTCCATGATCCAATGGAGCACTTCAACCTATGTGCAATCCTAACTACATGGGTGGCATTTAGGTTTATTTACAAACACCCTTATTTGTTTTACTAAATGTTTTGAAGTTGGAGTAGCACTTGCTACAAAGGAAGCATAGCGTACCTAAAATAAATCTAAAATACACAGATAAAATAAATTTCTATATAAATCCACACAGCTTTTGCAGTGAAATAAGAGGAAGTCACAGAATCACAGAATGGCCAGGGTTGGAACGGACCTCGAGGATCGTGAATCTCCAACCCCCCTGCCACAAGCAGGGCCACCAACCTCCCCATTCAATACTAGACCAGGCTGCCCAGGGCCCCATCCAACCTGGCCTTGAACACCTCCAGGGACAGGGCATCCACAGCCTCTCTGGGCAGCCTGTTCCAGCACCTCACCACTCTCTCTGTAAAGAACTTCCCCTTGACATCCAACCTAAATCTTCCCTCCCTCAACTTAAAACCATTTCCCCTTGTCCTGCAGTTATCAACCCTTTCAAAGAGTTGATTCCCCCCGTCTGTAGGCTCCCCCTTTAGGCACTGAAAGGCTGCAATGAAGTCACCCCGCAGCCTTCTTTCCTCCAGGCTGAACAAAAGCCCAGATCACTCAGCCTATCTTCGTAGGGGAGGTGCTCCAGTCCCCCGATCATCTTTGTGGCTCTCCTCTGGACCCTCTACAACAGTTCCCTGTCTTTCTTGTACTGGGGTCTTGTTACCTGGCTGAACAATTGTTTGAAAGAGATGCTATTTTGGCTTCACACATTACTGTAGTCATTAACAATGAATTCCTGAGAAGCAGGAATCCCAACGTGCACGAGTCCCCTTTAGCAAGGTACTGTCAGCATGTGCCAAGCACAGACCACTAAGGAACTCAAGCACCCAGTTGGTCCAAGCTGTGTGCCCTGATTGATATGAATCTCATTTGCTCTAATAACAGGTGTTACCAGCACCTCCACCTCCATCCAAGGCAAACTGCTCTTTGAAAACAATCATCCCACAAAAAGCTTCAGTTGCTTAAGGATACAAAGTAGAAGACAAATTTACAGCTTTTATAATTCTGTCAACTACATTAAGATTACACATTTTTTTCCTGTATGTTTGGTCAGTACCAAAAAAAACAACACAACATGCCCTTTCCTGCCTCAAACCAGAAACAGTTCTGAAGTAATTCTTGTTAATTTAACTGAGTGACAAAAACACAACAGAGACCTCTCTGAACAGAAAATGAATTTCTGAAGTTATTAATACAGTCCTACCATTGGAAGGAGGTAAGTTATTAACACAGTCCTACCATTGGAAGGTGGTGAGGCAAACGTAACAGTCACAGTTTCTGTGAGAACATTCCCACCATCTGTGGTCCACTGTAGCTGAAAGAAGATCACAGTTCTCAGAAAGAGTTAAAGTTTTTCTATTGCAGAAACACAGGCTCATTTCAGAACATGCAAGAAAATAGTATATGAAACTATGCATTTTCTTGGTTTCCAGAGAAGGTTTCCAACTTCTTGGTTGGAAGTTCTTGGTTTAAAATAAAAGATACTGCAAACTATTTTTAAACACACACTATACCAAGAAGGCTACAGTCACCTTGTGAAAACTCAAAGACTTTGAACAAAACAAAATAAAAATACAACAAACTGCCAAACCACAATTCGGCCAACAAATATCACCCACTCACCTTAGCCCAGCATAGTTTAGGGAGAATGGAAAAACCCCAAAGACACAGCACTACTTAATACTATAATTTGGCAAAGCTGATTTTAAACCTAATGACTGGAAAAACTAGAATCACTGTACATTTCTTCGCACTCAACAGGTGGAAGAAATTTAAGGAACAGCATGTAAGAGTTACTCAACACTCTGAAGTATCTACTTCAGACTTACTTCACTTGCTAGAAAGTACACTCACGAATTGTACAAGTGCTAATTTAGGCTGCACCTGAGGCAGACTTCATTCCGAGTTTTCAGATGTGGAAAAGTAGAAGTAACTTTTACAGCAATCAGATAAAGCCATTAACAGCTCTCTGATGCATGCCTTCTAGTTTCACGTAGTCATCATGTGAGCACTGCACTCAACTAACAGCCATCTAATGCTGATGACATAAATACTCAATATGGTCAAAAGGCTTTATTCACTTTTAATCAGTTTTGATCAGCAAGAGATTCCACTGAAAATACTGGTACTGGAAACAGGATGTCAGAGAATTCTGAAATGCAACTAAAAGTTAGAAGACTTACAGTATTAAACTCTTCAATTAAGAGTTTCACAGAATCACAGAATTGTAGGGGTTGGAAGGGACCTCCAGAGATCATCGAGTCCAACCCCCATTTCATTAAATTAAAAGTAAATTAAGTATTAAACTTAAAGTATTAAACTCCAAAAATTGAAAAGAAACACCAGGGCCAACATACCGTCGCTGGAATGCTTTCTGAATTATATACCACATCACCATTTCTCAGGGACTTCTGCACTTCGTGAATATGGTTCTTGATGTCATTCACAGTGGGAAAGAAGGATAGGTTATGTCTCTCTGGCACCTCATCAGGTTTGAATAATTCTCTTTCCACATACTTTCTGTCACATTAAAGGACAAAAATATTAAAGTGAAAATATGCATATTTTAGATCTATTGTGCTATTTACTTGGGGTCTGGAGAACAAGTCTTATAAGGAGTGGCTGAGGGAGCTGGGATTGTTCACTCTGGAGAAGAGGAGGCTCAGGGGAGACCTCATTGCACTCTACAACCTCCTGAAGGGAGGGATTTGGCCTCTTCTCCCAGGCAACGAGCAGGACACAGGGAAATGGCCACAAATTGTATCAGAGGATCAGAGGAGGTTTAGATTAGGCATAAGGAAGAACTTTTTCTCTCAGAGAGTGGTCAGGCACTGGAATGGCTGCCCAGGGAGGTGGTGGAGTCGCCGTCCCTGGCAGTGTTCAGGAGGTGTCTGGACGACGTGCTGCATGATATGGTAGTAGTATGTAGTGCTGGTGGTAGCAATGGTGATGAGGAGACGGTGGGACTGGATGATCTTATAGGTCGTTTCCAACCTTGTGATTCTATAAGGAAGCCTTCATAGAAATATTACTTGTTACAGTTGCTGCTACCATCTCCCTCTCCAGATTGCAATGACAATATAAGAGCAAGTTAAAAGATATTTGGATCCAGTTCTCTGTGCATCTGCTCTGGAGTTGGAATTTAAAAATACCCATCTGCTCAACAAACTTTAAAGAAGACAGCAGCTCTTAACAGTAGTCTACAATAAAATGGAAAGAGAAGACAAAATCCCTAAAAAAGAAAGAGACTAATAACGTGTTGGAAATACGTACAGTTATGCATCAATAATGCCATTTACTTACAAATCAAATTAATCAAATTCAAAACCACGCAAAGCACAGACTAAGAGCACTGACAGACAGCTCCGTACCTCAGTTGCTTCCTCACTGCATAGACTTGCTCTATTCCTTGAGACACCAGCTCTCGGATCTTGTCTGCCACTTGGGGATGAAGGCGGGAAGGCAGAGTGCAGTTCTCATCTCTACCAATGTCCTCCTCCTCCTCAGGAAAAGCAGCAGAAAAATGGGAGGGTGAAGAAGGAAGGCAGGAAGTTTCCATTTCATGATACTGGTGGGCTTGCTGAGTGGGTAACTGCACATACCACCTAGCAAGGAGGAAAGTTTTTATAATTCTCAAGCAAAGGCAGCAAAATAAATCGTTTGAGGAAAAAGCCTGACAATTACAAATGAAACAGTGACCTCCTGAGCTGAAAGATACAGCTCTTCTGAGCTTATGGTCCTCTCACACCCTGTGTTTCAAGATAACCCGGGTTAAACCCCGAAGTAGTAAAAATATTTTTTATATTCCCTGCATGAAAACATAAGTTCCACAGCTCAGCATTTAAACACATTTACTAAATAAAATAATCCAGAGCCATGAGTCTTATTAACAAAAAATCCCACAATGTCAATAAGACTTAATAAAGCAATCAAGGACATAAAGAAAACCAAGCAAGTTATTGCTCTTTTTCTATCATTTCTCAATATAAAGAAAAAAAAGTGCAAAATTCACCTGACAATACCACCAGCCTCTATCAAGTTCTTTTTCAGCATGTTGAATGCTTTTTCCTGCTCCATTCTTATGATTTTCTTGTCAATTTTAGGGTCAGTAGGAACTCTGTACTCCGGAAACTTTTGAACTTTTTTAATATAGATCCTTCCATGGGGAAAATAAGAGGAAACAGAAGAAAGAATCTCCTTGAGTGAGAAGGCAAAATTCCCACTTACTTCATATCACATACTATCACAGCAAAAATAAAAATAAAAATGAAATCAAGCAGTGCTGCAAGGGGTGAGGACCTTCTAAGAGAACTGCAGATCTTTTAACAGTGAAAGAGATGCAGGTGAGTACACATACACATATGCCTGATCCAGTAGGGAAGTCACTTGGCCAGAGTTATGCACATCAGCAAAAATTTGCTTTCCCTCAGTAGAGTAAAAGCACAACGCCATTTCTGGACATGTTGGACTTGCCTCCATGCCCAAAATGTGAGCTGAACATATACATATCTAACTGCACCCATCCAGATAAACACACTATTAGGTCTGTAAAGAGGGAGTAAGTGTGGCACTGAAACCCAAGAGAGTGTTCAAGGATACAAAAAGAGTAGAAAACACTGGAGTTGAGTAAGAAGGAAGCCCCAGTGAACAGGAAGAACTGTAACTTCTGTAAATAGAAGATCTGCTAAATTCAAACGATCTACTGATACAATTGCAGTTAAAAGCTTGAAGGAAAAACAAGACAATTGTCTTAGGATCAAATAAGGTCACTAAAGGACACCACCATACGATGTCCTCATAATTTTCCAGTGATTCCCACATTCCCACATGAACCACTTGTAGTTCATGTAGTGATGTATTGGTACCTTGCATGTCAGCAACCTGTCAAGTCTCAGCCCCACACAGTATTCCCTCCTTCCCTCAAACTATCAAGGGCACCAAGCTAGAAACCACACTGCATGATATCAGCTACTGCCTCCGAACTGCATGCTGTCAAGGCTCACAAGAAGCATGCTTTCTTAGGATGGTAACTTTACAGCCAATCCTTACCTTGCTGGACAAGTGGCTTTGTATAGATAGCCAGAAGTGCTTTCCTGCTCACCAGCTTTTTTAGACTGGAACCCTTTTCTCCTTGGCCCATACTGGCACTCCATTACAATGGCTCTGCTTCCTGGGAACAGAAAATAATTCACTCTATTCAAGCAACCACAGAAGTCATTATAGTAAAATATTAAATATAGAAAAGACAGAAACTCTGAAAAAGTTATTTCTGTTTAACATCAGACCATTTAGACAACAGAACGCTCAAACGTAGCAAGCATTCAAATACACTGCAAATGCTTCTTTCACAGCACATGAGGAATGTGGAGCACTTTGAAAGCATTTCCTAAAGTGATTACACCTCACAATGCTCCGGAATATACATAGGGGCATAAGATTAGGTTCCAACTTGATCAAGCATTTTACAATATGAGAACCCTTACTAGTTACCAAAGGAGAACAGCATTCATAATAAACACAAATAAGAGACAGAATCTCCAAAGTAACCAAGAAAACCTCACAGCTAAAAGCAAAGGTCTTTAATCATTACATCAGACCATGCAGCCCCAAAAATTCTTACTTGCAAATCTGACCTACCTTATCAGTTAAATAACTCTGCCTCAGTACGGCATACTCCCATGAACACAGACAGGCTTAAACAAAGATGGCTTTACTCTACCCTCATTCCAATACATGGCTTATTCCAATCATGCCACTTACAGAAGTGTTAATAAGCATAACAAGGTGTGCATGGTCAAGTATAGAACTTGCCCCTCTCCCATATCACATTATCTGTTACATAAAATTTACATGTTCCAGTACATAGGCAGGGAGCTGCCTATACAGCAAATGATATGACCAAAACCTTTGTAAGGTATCACTACAGCAACATGAGGTGTTTCCACTGGACACTCAATGATTTACTGCCTGAGAGTGTGATCTTATTAAAAAACATATACACATCAATGCATATGAAGAGAAGGGAAATTTAAAAGAGACATAATAAACAGATGTATAATATATATAATATATAATGTATAATAAACAGATATTCTGCCTTAAAAAAAAAACAAAACAAAACAACAAAACAGAACAATAATTTCCTAAGATTGAAAAGACTTCAAGACCTTTAAACTAATTCTTACTAGTATGTATCTCAAAAGCTACTGAATCTTCTTTTACAAAGGTATCGGCTATCTACAATTTGTAAGACATCTAAAAATCAAGATCTTGATTATTTATTTATATATTGTTTTATAATACATAGGGAACAATCTAGCCTTTCCTCTTCTACTTTATTTCCCCACAACAGAAGCAGAATCACAGTGGGAAAGGCACTACAGACCAGTTTCACTTAGGCAGAAATGAGTAAATTCCTTGAGAGCAAGACTTTTCTCCTGCACCATTTAGAATTTAGTTAGCTGGGATTTAACAGCAGCTCAGTAAACCATATTTCCAGCCTCTGCTTTACAGAACTGAAAGGTTTTTAATGAACATTCTTCATAGTGGGTTTCCATTCTATACCTAAATGCATTGGAAAGACAACACATTAGATGTATACATAGTGCTTGTACAGGGGTCTAAACAAAGTTAAAAATGTTACAACTTAAAAATCAGTACCTACTAGTCTGCAGCATGTAAAGGAAGAAATAGCCTGCATGCTTTTGTTCTTAATATCTCACCATGGGGTGAGATGTTTATGCATTTATTAAGCAGATCTTACAGAAAATTGAAGATGTTTCAAATGCATTTAGAGAGGGTGCTGATAAAAGTACAGATTGTTTTGGCTTCGTTCTCAGCTTTCTTATACCTCACAATTTTTGGCTGAAGCTATAAAGTTGGGGCAAATGTTTCACTTCCTCAGTTACTTTCAGGAAAAAAAAAGAAAGCATATAACCTATGCTCCACTCATTCACATGTGACAATTAAAGCATATTAAATTTGATTTGAATGAACTTAATTTCACATATGCATTGCGTGAGTTAAGTATGTATTTACCAATCTGTAAAGCCTGCACATTCATTTAAAAAAAATTGTCTGCTGACGAATATTGATGCTCTTTTTTAACTTATTTTTTATTTCTGTATTAAAGGGGGGTGCTTAAATACCATGTTGGATCCCATTGGAACAGACTGTTCCAAGGATCTCCAAGTCAGGCAAGAATACTGGAACAAGTTCTCACCCTTATGAGAAACTCCAAGTCTTGGCAGAGCAGATGGAACTTACATCTAAAGAGCTCATTCACAAGAACCACCATCAAATGGTACTTAAGTAATTTATTTCTAAACAACAAGGAGAAAGAAACACTCACAACAAAGCTTGTGGTTTCAAGGAAAACAAGCTCCTTCGCACTGTGGATAGAGATCCCAAGCTACTTTTTTGTTGGTTGGTTGGTTTCTGTTTTGTTAAGCCTCGAGCTTACTGACACTAAGGAACAACACGTGGATCCTTCTTCGTGGCCAGTTGGCAACCGATGATGAGATTTTTCAAAGTAGTTATTGAAACAAAAGAAGTTAGTTACCTGCATTGACAAAGGGGATCCCATCATATGGGACATACTGGGATTTCCACATCAACCGTGTGGCGGGTTTGGCCGGGCTTGGAGACTGGCGTGTCCCCCACACACTTTGTGTTTGCTGCTTGTGTAGCGTTAGAACACTCTCTAATTCTGTCTCGCTCACACAATAGCCGCGGTATGAGTCCCCAATTTTCTGCATGGAAAGGAGGTGAAATAATAGGGTTATTCACCCAGCTGACTGCTCTGCATTACCCAAGAAAGCAAAGGCGGTCAGGGACTCCGCACGTGAGGACACAGGCTCAGGTTTTTGGTGTTTTGTACATTCTCCCCCACACTAGTACTCTCACAAGCACAGTTACCATTGCATCTAGCATCAGAGCAGTCTCCACTGGCATCAGATCCTAAGCACACAAAAACCCAGGAAAGACTAGAGTTACTGACAACACTAATTTACAGAGGACAACTTCTACCTGCAGTCACCTCCTCAACAAATTCAACTTAAGTGAATATTTTCATATGATGCCACAGAGGATCTCTGAAGTGCTAAAAATTGTAATGGAAATGTATCTGCTAAAATGCATCTGCTTCAGTGGACAAACAGAGCTGAGTTGGAGCAGAATACACCTGTATGTAATACCAGCAACTGCCTCACCCACCCAGAGCATTATCTCTGAATTGAACATCTCATATCACCCCCTTCTAAAGCTTCAAGGCACACTCAATTCTCAAAGTTGTATAGAAACACAAGATGCAAGACTTGCCACTGGATAACAGCTACAGTTGCAGTGACTTCTTCTAAGCAGTGGCAACTCCAGAAAAAACTGCGCCTAGATTTAGCTCCATACAAGGACAAGAAAACCAGTGACAAAAAACAATGTATTGACTTTGTAGCACTTCTTTTAATAGCTGTTCAGCTACTCAGAGCCACCCATCTCATTTGGTTCAGTGCTGACACACCAGGGCCACTCAGCAAGCACTGACAGCACTGGGGCAGCAGCGAGCCTCCATGTGAACCCAGAACATAATTCTCACTTTGATTCCTGTAGCACAGGATCAGGACACCAAGCAGCTGACAATAACACCCAGAGCAGTCTGCCAGCTTACAGCATAACCGTGGGGCAGACACATGGTGAATGAATACTAGCACCTGATGGATCCCTTTTGCCACTTTCAAAAATGCAGCAGACAGGTGTTTCAATACATACAACAAAAGCAACAGCAGATGTCTAATATTATTATCTCAAAAAAAAAATATCGGTGACAACTGCATAATACTACCTCTTGACAAAAAAGTGTCTGTGGTTAACAAGACACTGAGTCAACAAAGAGCAAACAAACCCCTTCCAAATGAAGTGGGGCAGCACAGCACTGCTGCTGGCACGAGCCCAGTAAGATAAGGGTATGCACACATCAGTGGCAAGAGTTGGTCTGAGGTACCAGCTGCTCACGTAGCAGCAGCTCACTGTGCTGCATGCACACCATTCTGGTACATAAAACAATCTGCATATGCTGCATTCACACAGCTGCAGAGAGGAAGAAATGCTAGTGATTGCTTAGTCAGAGATTATACGTAACATAAGTGGACAGAAATAATCTGAAAGATACAGAAATATCTTCACAGAGACCTAGGATTATCCCCTTTCACAGGAGGAATTGCAAATATTGCATAAGTAGCTTCCCATACTTCCTTATCTGGTCACTCTAAACAGGTCTTTGACTTGATTCTTGAGAGATGAGAGAAAATGTATAGAACTCATGCAGAAATTACAAGTTAGGGCCCCGTCTCCTGTTCTAGCTTTACTTCTGCTCTGCACAAAATAGAACATCTTCCCAAAACATGCATGGCAGAGAAAGAAAATCACATAGCACATAGGCTCCCCACTCCCTAGGAGCTTCCCAAGCAGCTACTAATGGATACATGAGACCATCTGTTCCAAAGAAATAAATTTAGCTTTGCATCATCGATTAATTAATGTACTTTTAATTATACCTTATTTCAGTATGCTGATGCATGCTGAAAACGCATTCTGAGCAGACCACTGAAAACTTTAATGATGTTTTTTTTTCTATAACCTTTTTTTTTTTTAATCTACTTTTTGTTAACAAAGTAATTACCTCTCTTCAGCCATTTAACTCCAGCCAAGGTTCAAGTGACCAAAAAAAAAAAAAAAAAAAAAAAAAGCAATTCCTTTTCTCTTCCCTGACCTCAAACTCGCAAGAGTACATACACTGAAGTACGTACATTAAGACTGCAGTTTCTCTCAACTGAAGTAGCAGCAGCAGGATGCCAGAAGCATTACACTGCGTAGGCACTGCAAGTGTAAACTGAGCATTGCAGAGCAGCCAGGAAACCAGCCTGAAGCACAGACCATAGTGCCAGTTTTGGACAGTTGCAGCTTTTACTGTTCTGTGTTCGCCTGCACCTGCGGCGCTGGCTGTGCTTCAGAGCCCTGTCCTGGCAACACCCTGGGATATACTACGGGCAACATGTAACTGGGCCATGACATGGCCCCACCTGCTGAGTTCTTCTGTAAAATTCACACAGATCTCCACTTTAAGGTTGTTTCTATCCTGAAAAATTATTGAGAAAGTGCAACTGTGAGTTAACACATTGCTCTGCACCAAGAATGACTGGACTAAAGGTACAGCATTCTCTCCACCAGATCCCCAGATTGTACTTGGATCTCTCTATCCTGTTACTTGTATACTTCTATCCCATTACTTGTAATAACACGTTCTGCAAGACACCACAGCAAACATAAACAGCACCTCAAAACTCCACTGTCTCTGTGCCCATAAAAACACATGTGCATCTGAGCAGCTCTCACTGGATTTACAAGGACTGTGTAACTGACTGGAACTCAGCAAAGCAGCTCTGCTGGGCACACATAAGGAGGAAGAGAATTCGGATTACTCCTCCACGGCCTGAATTCTGCTGGGAGAAGAGTGATAAGCTATTTTCTTACTTTTTTAAGGGAACAGAGAGGATTAATGCATACAGCCAATATTTCAGCAGAAACAGATGCCTACATCCTCAGAACAGACAAGCAGACATTCAAACAGACACTACTTTGCCTTTTTCTTTAAAGTAAGAACTCTTACACTACTGTGGCTGCTGTGAACTTTAAGCACAACAGATGAAGTTTCTTATAAGACTCAGATAGATACAGCAGACTGTAATACAAATCCTCCCATAATGAAGCCAGCAATAAATGACTCAAATAAGCTACAAGTCTGTCAAAATGGGGAAATACACATTGGAGTAACAGCAACTATACATCTTACTGGAGTTCAACAACTAACCAGCCAGCTGAAGTGGCTCCTTTACTCAGTGAGAACAGCATCTCCACCATGGAAGGACTAATAGTACTAATTTTCTGATCTCTGAATGTCTAAGCAGACATACGGGACAATAGAATTTGTGTGAAATAAAAGACAGAACAAAAGGAGGAATATTTACACATTCGGTTAAAAATCATTTTAAATGGATAAGGAAAAGAAGCTGCATTTCTAAATCCCTCATAGCTGCAATTTCTACAGTAGCCAAAACAGGAAAAAAAACTTTAATCTGAAGAAGTGAATAAGATAGCATGATTTTTCCTTGAAAAAAGTATTAAGAGAAAGTAAAATAAATATTCATCAGGAAGAGGATAGTAGCAGATAGTACATAGTAACTGTTTATGATGCATTCTAGCTGTTAACATCATCCCAGCCATCCATATAGAGACATTTCCGTATATCTAACAACGTGCAAATAGAGAGCTCTGTTTAAGTCAAATGCCATGACAGGCAATAAAGACAGTTTCAGTTTCACCATATTTCCAAATTCTCCATTTAGTGTGGTGAATTATCTGTACATATCACAGGAGAAAAAGTCCATTTTATGGTTTCTTGATGTGTAATTGGAAAAAGTGGTATAAACCTTTCCCAAATATAAAGTTCACAAAGTTTAATGAAAAGCAGTCTGCTCAGCAGAAGGCAACAGTTTTTTTTCTGTATCATGAATGAACTTGATAACATTGTAAATGCAAAAAGGAATCAGTGGCTTTTCTCAGCACTGTATGGCCATGAGAGATTTCAGAAGCACAATTTAGGCTTCAGGAGCTGTTGACAGTAGGCCATTCCCAAAAAGAAAGGAATTCCATAACATTTCACACATGAAATGCACTACTAGTAGCACTAGTGCTGGTCCAATCTCGTAACACCCAAAAGCTTGAATGCCATTTCTATAACCATAAACATTACTTCTGTCATGAAATAGGATTTTGATGCAAAAGACATTGAGTCAGAATTCCTTGCAGCTCACCTCACAGTTCCAGAGACGACGCGCCCAAGCAGGTGCATTTGTTGGCAAGGGCTGGAGAGGGATGGGAAAGGAGTCTTCTAATATTCTGGAAAACAAAAAATAAAAATGCAATAACAGTACATACACACTCAAGAAAGTAATTTTTTAATCTAAACTATTGCTATCACATCAAATCAGTGCATTACATAACTTCTTACAGCATATGACCAAACTATATATATTACATCAACTTGTCTTGAGAACCTGGGATTCATTTTCTCCATATTCTATTTCACTATTAAAATAATTCACTTTTTTTTTTTTTTTCTAAGTAATTAAATAGCTGTCTTCTTTGTTCAACAAGTCTCTGAACATTCAGTATCCTCACAATATTTTGGCTGTTATTATCATTCAGTATTGTGAAATACACTGGGCTGAGTACCTTGAAAACTTTCTTATGCAGACTAGTGATAGAATTACAATGATTAAACAGATATTCAATACATGTTAAATACTGCATGTTGTATACCTGAAGTCTCAAAAACAAACAAACAAAAACCCAACAGCTGCAATAACTATTTGAAGTCAGTATATACTTCTTTTACTCCCTAAATTCTGGAATGGAAACAATGCATGCTTGCAGCAGCTTAAGACATCAATCATTCCAAAACCCAAATGCATTACCTCCTGTCTGTACAAAAAGTGTCTCCTCTCCAGGATCATTCTTGTAACACAAACTGTTTGTGACATCCATGCACAGAGCATTTAACTTCATTTTAAATGTTGCTTGAACATATATAATTTGTGTTATAGTGCCAGGATTATTCTAATCTCTTCTACTTCTTCATTTCAAAGAAGTATAAACCAATACAAGGCAGATCCGCAGTTCATAAAACAAGGAATTTTTTTTTTTCGGGGGGGCACCAAAAATCCCACAGTATTCACAATTAAAATACTAGGCAACATTTAGCAGGGGTACAAAATTAGATTTCAAAGAGAATTAAGCAATAAGTGAACTATTTTAACTTAAGAAGTTTTGTTAATTGATATATAAAAGTATATAGGTATAAGAAAACTCAAGAGTATTAGCAGGAGATCAAAATGATTCTTAATCTCTTCAACTCCTGACCTACCTGGTTGCTGATTTTTTTGATATGGTGAGAGATGCTTGTGGATGGAGAATGTAACTGCTTGCACTGTCTGCTATAGCAGCCACTGCCACAGTCTGCAAGTTCCCATCATCACACTTCTCTTCTGAAGCATCTTTATAAAAATAAAACATCCCCCGGTTAACATGTGGAGATAGAGTGAGAGCAATCACAAACTACAATAAAATGTTTGTTTCTCCAACATGCAAAACTTGAATGATGAAATAAGAGTATGTCCAAAAGAAAAACTATGGAGAGATGCAGCTCAAGGAAAACACACTTGATAGGGCTGTTTGTACTTAGAGACTTTGATATTTGTGTTACTGCTAATGACCCCATAACAAAGGAAACAAATAGAACTTTAAAATCTGTTTTACATTTTCGCAAATCCATATAGGATTGCCTGACTATTTTATCCTGCTGCAAATCTCACAGCAGTTGCTTGTAAAATAAGAAAGGAGATTATGATACTACTTTGTCATTAGAAAGAACACCTGAACAAGCAAAACTTCCTTTTCTGTTTTTTTGTCTGATTTTCTGATACTGTGAGAGATGTGAGGTCTCTCTGGTAACTGAATTTGACACATCATTACAACAAATGTTTCAGCCAGGAAGCAATCTGTAAGCCAGAAAACAGCATTGTATTGAAGCCCGTGCATATAGGTAGGCAATACAGTAAAGGAAAATTGTGAAAGCAGATATTTGATATTTTGGCATTGGCATAAATAAAACAGACATCTCTTTAAAAAAGGGATTTTTGCCCTTCAATTATGGAAGCTTCTTTCCCCAATTCAGAGAGAGAGAAGTGAGTTATTGACTCAGTACAGAAATCAGCCCGCTAGACAGCTTCTATCATGTAATGCTATAATGTGATGGAAACTATAGCAATAATAGCAGGGTGGCAAAGTCTTTGGCTGCAACAAATGAGGACAAACCCAAAAGCAGCAGCCGTGGACGGAAATGAAGGCAAAAAAGCTGCTTACCTTCCAAAGGTAGGCAGGGATCTCCAGCGAGATACCACTGCCTCCCCCTGACAGCCCTTAAATGAGGTCTGTGTAGGAGCCGATCCGGGCTCGACCCCTTCTGGTCACTCAAGTGCACTGCATTGCATTGCATTGCATCGCATGCACCTGAGCTCCCCTGGATTGGCCCTGCCTTCCTACGAGGTGCACAATCACTGTTTCAGGCCATGACTCAGCACTTCCACTACGTGTCAGAAGATTCATGAATGTGTGTATCAGAGAGACATCACTGAGGCTCAAAGCTTGGAGCTCTGGCTCCTTCTAAACAAACACACTCCCAAGAGCCTAAGCTCTGCTCTGAAGCTTGTGCCATTTTATCTATTATCACTACCTGCAGGTAAGAGAAACTCAAGTTCTTACGCTCTATTCTCCTTCCCCTTTAATCTTTGACAAGTCTTCCTAATGGCATTTCAAAGATCAAACAACTACAAAGTCTTTTACATAGTAAGTTCCTTGAAAAAGAAAAAAAAAATCAGTAGTACTGTTATAGAACTTGCATTCAAACACTGCAAAAACGATCTATGCGCACAGGGAGCACCACATAGGATGAAAAATGTGAATGCAAAAATACTATTAAGCGTTACAAATTATTGCCTATAAAAAGTAGCAGCAATTCTTCAGAACCTGAAGGTTCACTGTCAGCGTAAACTCATATAAGACTATGCTAACTAAACAGTGGTCTCACCCCTGCAGGTAGGAAGGGAGGAAAGAACGAGAAGCATTAGCACAGGAGCACACGTTCAATGTAGGATCCTGAAATCATATTCCAGCCTTAAGTGAAAAAGGCTGAATGACAACTTGAAGCCCAAGACATTAGTCTTATCTTTAATCTCTTCTTCCACAGGAATGCTCAAGCAGTACCCAGACTTGGAGAATTTGCTCAATTTTTGAGATTTTTCTTTTTTTTTTTTTTTGCTTCCAGAAAATACAGAACAGTTTAACGTATTTTTCAGACTTTGACAAAACACGACAACTAAGTTCTCAGTTTTATCTGTGAATGCAAACTAGCACATACCCTTTAGCCATCCAGCCTGGCTTACAGATAGATAATGAGTGCTCCTCAAGATGAGCTTAAAATTTGTGCTTGTAGTTGCACACCTCAGAACATACTTAGGATGCAGCACTTTACACACTGAGGGCAAAATCTTGGCAATAAAACAAAAGTTAGAACCCATTCGCTTCATGGGGAACTGAATTTCTACCTAATACTTTACTTCTGGCTTCACAAATGATGCCTTGCCAAATGTGGTCTCTGGTGCAGACCAGAACATGAATTCTCTTCTCTGTATTCCTTGAACTAACTCTTCAACTCAAAAATGAATCAAGAAGATAATACAAACTTGAAGCTGATGATAGTCCTCTGATGTAGCACAAATATAGTTATTAATGGTAAATAAGACAAGCAGCTTTGTCCTTGACTTCTCAATTTACCCATGACGCATCTAAAGTGAGCAAAATAACCCTTATTTCACAGAGCTTTGTCCAACAGAAAACACTGTGGGCCACGTTCATAATCAAAACAGATCATTTAAGTATGAATTTTGGTCTTCTAAGATTGGCAAGGAAAGGAAGCATACAAACAAGAGATTCATTAAAAAAATAAAGAAATCAGAAGAATCACAAAGGATACATTTAGCTCTCACGTCCCACAGCTTCAACTCACCCTGAGTGCCAGTGACATCCAGAAGGTGACCATGAGGAATTATCACCTGGGCCATTCCTGGCTGGGCAGAAGGAATGACATGAAGCACCTGGCCATTTTCTGACTGGCTGGCAACAATCATCTGTGTGGTGATCACACAAAAGTATGAGTGATGCTAGCTGCCGCAGTAATCAGGATGCAGGTCCATCAGTTATGTTTATTATTAGAACAGGAAATATTCTGGCTAGAATTACGGTCTATAAGTTAACTTGAATTTACATATTAAGAAAACCACCTATTTATTGTTCATTAGTTAAAATTGTTTTCCACCTTATATAAAAACCCCTTAACTCTTTAAAGGAGATGGAAAAAAAAAAACCCACACCTTAGGGGATTCTACAAAGAATTACACATTTATTTGAAACTGAAAGAACTCAAAGACCATTCATTGTTGGAATTGTTGCAATCCCATTCACAAACTAGTAGAATTAATCATAACATGTTAAAGCCTTCAATCTTACCCCTGAGAAACTGAGCTCTACGGGCAGCATTTTACGCAAAAGCAGACAGAAGAAAATATAACCTCGATTCTGATTTGCTACAGTTCAAACGGGTGAGGTGCCTTTAAATGACAGTGCAACACGTGCCAACCACAATCCTTAAGTGAAAGAACACTTACTTTGTAACAAGACACCTAAGAACTATAAATCAAGGTTTTCCAGCAAAGTAACTCAAAAAAAAAGGACTGACAGAATGGGTTGGCTTCTTGCTAATATCCCAGGCCTTACGAAACAAAAGAAACTAATCCAGCAGATATAGAGAGAGCAGCAGTGGTAGCAGCATGAGATCTCACCACATGAGAACAAATGCTAAATAATGACAAATGCTGCTCTTTAATAAAATGAGCACAGCTGGAGGTAGGATCTCCCTACTTAAGGAAGAGCGACAGGAGCATGAACTGGAGCATGGAAAAGTTTCACCTTGTTGCTCAAGACATAAGAAAAGCTCTGCATTTCTTCAGGGGTCCTTCACAGGGCTCCATCACCTGTCCGTTCACCACCTGCCCTGTTGGGCAGCACTCACCATGTGTGCACTGGACGCCCCGAGGGGCTGCAGCTCGCAGAGCGCCTGGCCATTGGGCTCGAGCAGGTGGAGCTCCTCTGTGGATAGAGGTGGAGGCGGCCGCGCAGGCGCAGCTGAGGACGCGGAGCTGCCCAAGAGGCGCACGGCGATTGGCAAGGCTGCAGGAGAGTCGCTCTGTCCCAGTGATGGATCCCTGGAAGCCATGCAGGTCACACGCTTTCAGAGGAAAAAGAGTAAAACTCAATCCCAAGCAGAGATTGCCACTTTTAAAAACAAAAAAGAGCGTTTGAATGGTCAGGAAACATGTTATGCTCAGATGGTGCTCTATGTCTTTCTATGCAAGGAGCCGCAAGTCCCATTTCTATTTTCCATTTTCATGCTGAAAATACAAATGCACACATGACACGTAGTGACTGAGCAATCTGATCCGAGTTTCAAGTGATCTGAACTCCTTCTACACCGAGACACACCAAGCGTTATTTTAATGAGGAATTCCACTGTCGCAATGAAATATTTCTGCAGCGCAGTAACAGGAGTTAGGAAATACAATTACCATCATGACACGCAGCATCCAAATATTCAGCAGTTCAAAACTGAATGGCACCAGAGCAAGACAGAAGGAATTTCTGTTCTTATTAAGGACAGACAATGTATAAAGTGAACAATAAATAAACTGATGTGATACTGTAAATTAATCAGAGATGATGCAAAAGCCCCTACAGAACCAGGACTTTTGTATTTCATCTGGAAACCCTGACTGCACATTTCTGACTGCCCAGTGCTGCTGAGGTTGCCTACAAACAAAACATGAGATCTTTCCATAACGACATCACGGTCCATTTTCTTCCATTACAAGATGACCTGGAAAATTACAGAACCATTTCAGTACTTTCGGCTGAACCAAGATACTGCTGCAGGCTTTTTTTGGTCTTAAAAATCTAGCCTGACAATTTCCAGCCCTGCTGCCCGCTCACAACAAATCCCTCAAGATAAAGACGCTTGCTTCTTTATCACTTTATTATTCACTGCAGAAAAATGTCAGCATGTTGCTCCAGGAGTCTGTTTTAGTGCCTTGTGTGAGACAATTTGCCCGACTTGTTGCATACACAGATAAGCCAAACAACGACTCTTCTGCTTTGCATCCAGTTCACAAGCGCTAATCTCCTCACATCCTGAGATATTTGATATTTAAAGATTCACCAGCGCTGCTTTATGAAAATATTAGTCACCTCCTTCCATAATAACACACAGGACTTCAATTATCCAAATCTGTCATGCAACCATCTTGAAGCATATTGAATTTGTTTTGAAGAAGTAAAAAGCAACATTTAAATGACAGGCAGTTACTGCTGTTAGCCCACAGCTCTTAGCTTTGGGCAGGAAAAACAGCAGATGTTTGGAAAGAAAGGTTGGCGTGAACCAAGAGATGAAGGACAGAACAACAGAGCTCCCAGCACTTGGGAGATCTATCTCTCATCCCAAAGAAAAGCCCACTACAAACCTGCGAGCAAACAGAGAATATTAGACAGTGAACTGCCACAGCCACAGTTTAAGGCTTGGATCCAAACAGTACAGCCTTTAAAGAGTGACCAGTCCCAAATATTTATAAGCAGCTCGACAAAATGACAAATTCACCCAGCCCTGACGTTTACTAAAGCATGTAATATATTCCAGAACATATACAACATGCCAAAGTGAAGAGGAGACAATTCCTAGAGTTTGGGTGGAGGATGGAGAAAGGCACTTAATTTTTCCCTCCAGTATTTATATTGAAGACAAGCAGCAGTATGTTAACAGCTTTGTATTCTTCACAATACAGACAATTTCTTCAATAAGACCACCTTGGCTGTGGCTTCTCAACCATTTACAGCTTTATTGAAGAGAATGTAAAAAGCTAGAAAACCTTTTGGAAAGAGCTGTACTGCCCTGGAAGCACAAATGCGTTTTGCTCTGTAAAAATACAAGGACCACAGTCAAAGTAAACTTGCATCTTGGCTTCTGAAAATGAATAAAGCATCCTGCTAGTATGAACAACACTGTGAAGTGAAGCTGCTTGTATGTCTAATAGAATAAATACTTTAATCTAAAGCAGATTTAATTTTCCATTCAATTTTCAAGTGAGGATATTCCAAACCAAGCTCTAAATAAAGTTATTAACTTTTACTAAGTATTTTGGAGCTTTGGATCTGAAAGCAATTATGAGATATTTCAATTTAAATACATAAAGCATACTGAAAGCAGAAGAAAAAAATATATATTAAAAAAAAAAGCACACCAGTCAGAGCTGGATTTCATTATCACTCACATCACTCAACCAGTTCCCCCCAACTAAGATGTCAAGATACATCAGTTTAGCTGAGGCAGCAGATTCAGTTCTTAGAGGGAACCCTGAAGAGAACGACAGCATGCTCTAAGTGCTCTGCAACCTTTCTCCAGAGCACCAGGACAGCTGCACAAGGATGAACCAGCAGCCCAAGCAGGCAATGTTCTCCACTTCACAGGCTGGTTAATAAAGCCCAAGCAAAAATGATAGCCATAGAGCAAATACACAGTGATAGTCTTTTGGCTTCCTGGTATAAACAGCCCAGAAATACCTTGTGCCTCAAGTTGTACCTTTGTGTTTTAAAGAAGCCCTCAGTCTGTTTCTGTTCGGTGGCTTTGTCTAACCACTGCTCTAACCCAGGAAAATCGGGGCATGCGTACCACCCTGGAATGACCTCTGTGGTGTAACCATTCAGGCTTCATAAGCTTCACTTCTGTGCAATCCCAAACAGAAAGATGATTTTTTTTCATCCTAGAGAGATATATTTACATGCATGCTTAAAAGCATATACATAGTTAATATGCTTTACAGCTAGATAAGTATTACTGACAAATTCCTCAAATAAGATGGTTTCCTGTGTATAGATTCATACATGGATATTTGACATAAATGAGTAAATAATACATAGCTATCTATTCCTAAAAGTTGTACACAACAATTTCAAACAGAACGCACCAGCAACACGCATTTACCAGGAAGCCCAGGAGAGATGTAGGAGCTTAAAGTCAGTGCAGAACTGAGCAACAGTGGCAGCACTCCCCAGAAAGCCCTAGGCCGCTCCCAGCCCAGCGTTATGAACCCCACAGGGCCGCTTCCCTTACCCTGCCTGCCCCACAGGGAACGCTCTGCTTCAAATAAAGCAATATCTGCGGCCACTTCAGTCCAACTCCACGAAGAGGGTAAGCAGCCACGAAGCATAGTACACACAGGTAAGCACAACTCCATCACCAGAGCATCAACGGCAGTCTCATAGACAGGATTTTCAAGATAGCCAACATAATGCACTGCAGTCCAGCCTACAGCATTGATACCAGCAAATCAGTGCCAGAGACAAATGCGCTGGTTGCTCAAGATTGCTTGATACTGTAAGGGTAGTGAGATACTGGAACAAGCTGCCCAGGGAGGCTGTGGAAGCATTCAATGCCAGGCTGCATGGGGCCACAAGCAACCCTGTTAAATGGAATTGTCCCTGCCTACAACAGCAGGGTTGGAACCAGGTGATCTCAGGGGCCCCTTCCAACCCAAACATTCTATGATTCTACGAAAGGCAGATCCCAGCTGCTCCAAGCCTTTCCTCCTCATAATGCAGCAGACCCATCCGCCCCAAGGACAGCACTCCAGGTGCTCTCAGCAGTGGGTGCTGCTCTGCCCCCAGCCGTGAGGCCCTGAGAAGTGCTGCATCCTGAAGCCCCACATCTAACTTTTAACGCTGTGACAACAGTGTGGATATCAGTCTCAGAAAGAAAGCTGAAGCATTACAAAAACAAAAGAGATGAACTCACAGTGACAAGAAGCATGTTGGATTGCACTGACATACGGGAATCTCCTCAGACACCTCAGCGTGTTACCATGTCAAAAAAAGGAAAAAAAAAAAAAAAGCTGGATTGTACAAATCCGTGCCTTCAGCACTGCTAACAGCAATTCCGCCTGTCCTGCCGTCAGCCTGTACTTCGGCTGTACGGATGGAGGCCTTGCTGCTCCACGACTGTTATTATAAAATAATGCAAAGGTCTTAAGAAAAGACTTAAAATCGCAAGGCTTACCACAATTAAACACTCCCTCCAGAGCTGCCCCTGAGGTCAGCAGGTCAGCCCCCACACAGGGCGCGGGTCACACACAGTAACGCCGTAACGGGTCGGTGAGGGCACGGCGACGCCCCCAGCGACGAGTTACAACCAGGCGAACGAACGCATAGCGGGTGTGCACGGCAGGTGCGGGAGCAGCTCACGGCACCGTAACAACGGAGGGGCAACGCGGCGCCCGCCTCACACGAGGCCCGCCTCACGGACACCCCAACCCGCACGGCGGGAGGCGCGAAAGCGGGACGCTCGCGGCGGCGCCTCCTCCTGCGGGGCGCGGCAGGCCGGCGGCCGTCGCCCGCGCCTCGCCTCCTTCGCCTCCCCGGCCCCGCTCACCGCCGCCCCTCACGGCGAGGGAGGCGCGGGGCACCGCCCTCCGCCGGGGACACCGCGCCCCTCCCCCGCCCCGCGCCCTGCCCGCCCCACCTCGCCGGGGCTCCCGCCGGCGCCGCCATGGAGGCCGCCCCTCAGCGCACGCGCGGTGCCCGGCGGCGGGAGGGGCTCCGCGACGGCGCGCGGGCTGCTGGGGGCGACGGTGCCGGCATGGCGCAGCTCACCGCGAGGTTCCGCGCCGAGAACCCTAGGTGAGGCGGCACGGCCGGGCCAGGGGGTCGGTTACGGGATGGGACCGCTAACGGCGCCGTGTGCCCGCAGGTACGCCGTAGAGGACGTTCCGTTCTCCGTGCCCGCGGCCTCCGAGACCGCCGACCTCAGTCACCTCATCAACAAGCTGCTGGCGGCGCGCGCCGGTAGGTGCCGCGGGAGGGGCCCGGCCCGGAGCAGCTCGGTACTCGGCGCGGGGCCCCTCGCCCATCCTCAAAGGAAACGCTCTCTGCTTTGTTTCAGCGGACCACAAATATGTGGAGTTCGACTTCCTCATCCAGGGCCAGTTCCTGCGCGTGCCGCTGGTCACGCACATGGAGATGGAGAACATCTCCACGGTGAGGCTGCTTTTCTGACTGACCCAGAAGTCCCCGCAAGTTTAAACTCAGTCTGAACGGCAAAATAACGACAGAGTGTGAGATTAGTAGCTCTGGACAACAGAACACCGTTATCCGAGCTCGTGTCTCTGGACCGTGCTTTAAGTTCATTATTCACACGTGTTGAGGCCCCTGCAACAGCAGTTAAGTTGAGGGCAGAGGGGGAAATTAGCATCGCCTCGTGAAAGCTGTACCCTATGAATTATATTTTAGACACCAGTTTTAAGAGGTAGATACAGAAGAGGAACGCGATAACAGTGAAGATAATAGCTTCTGCTGTCAGCTTGCTGTTAACCATAATTTGCTACAGCTATAGAGAAAGCAACATCAATCACCTGACAGCTGTAGGTCCACTAACCTGGAATTGTTGGTGCCAAGATCTCTGCCCAAAACACTTGTACCTTTGCACCACACTGCAATTAAAGTATAATTGTTATTAAGAAAAATAAAAGCACACTAAATAAATATTTTGTTTGTGAGCTCAGGAAGAAGTGGTGGAAATCGAGTATGTGGAGAAATACATGGCCCCGCAGCCCGAGGAGTGCATCTTCCACGATGACTGGATCAGCTCTGTTCAGGCCACCGAAGAATGGTACCACGCTAAACCAGTTCTACGATTTTTCTTTCTTACTCCTGATACATCATGCACAGGACTCCATGGTGTTAAATGGAGTGCTATTCTGTTTCTTTACTAAACTGTTATTTTTTTCTCCTTGCTCTGCTTTTGACTTGGTTTTCCGTTTTAGCCTATCAAGTCCAACAGCTGCTTGCTTTTATAAGCACTGTACAGTTTTAACACCTCAGAAATTGTGTTGAAGTCAGCACAGAACCAGTCAAATATTTCAACATAGGACTCTTAGTAGAAATGGGTAATACAAATACTGTTTACCATCTCTGAAAGGAAGCAAGATGTATCTATTTTAAATCTTAAATCCTTTTGACTTCAAATGGGATGGGTGTACAGCAGCAAATACAACTGCATAGCTTTGTGCAGGGCTTTTCTTTAAAGCATATCATTGTCCTTAAGCAATGTATTTTAATACTAATTTTCCAATCAACTAGCCCATGTTTCTGTACTAACATATGGTTTGAAAATGCTTCAGGATCCACCTGTTAACACACTATGAACAATAACATTTCGTACATCATTTAAAAGGTAATTTAAGACTCACAACCAGAACGTGCAGTACTACCATTGCTATTCTTTGTCCTGCACTCATAGCTTTGCTCTTTTTTCTTTTTTTTTTTTTCCTCCACAGTTTTTTAACAAAGTCATTTCAGGTAACCAGACACTATGTTCATATTCTTCTGTATTTCTTGTTTCATTGAAACAAAGATAACTTCAAAGCTTCAAAAATAACAATGTTAAATTCTGTGTCTTGCAGGATACTAACTGGCTGCTATGATCAGTCTGCCCGAATCTGGTCTTTAGAAGGAAAATCTATCATGACAATAGCTGGGCATACAGAAGTAGTGAAGGATGTGGCATGGGTGAAGCAAGGTCAGTATATAATAGTTCAATTTATTGGAAGAGAAATGTTAGCATTTCTCAATCTTGAGGAATGAATGGTTGAGGTCCAACTGCCCCATGCAAGCAGCAACACCTAGAACAGGTTGCCCACAACCATGTCCAGAAGTCAAGATATTATGTCAGTCCCTATCAGTTGTTTTTTGTTTTTCGTAAACCAAGTAATGGTGCCATTAAGACGTTCCATTAACAGTAATGTAGTAGTTTAACATGCACACTGTCTACCACCTTTCCAGACTTACTTGTATTAGTTTTACTTGCAGGGTAACATGATGTGAACGTCATGTTACTGGTAGATAGGGTTTCTATCTACTATTTCTTCAACTATAACAATTCCTACAAATATTTTTGAAAGCAAAGTTGAACATGCCTTCTTTCTTCCTCAGATAGTTTATCCTGCCTGTTAATCAGTGCATCTATGGACCAAACTATCCTCCTCTGGGAGTGGAATGTGGAGAAGAACAAAGTGAAAGCCCTTCACTGCTGCAGAGGACATGCTGGGAGTGTAGACTCTGTGGCAGTTGATTGCACAAGGACTAAAGTGAGTGACCCCCTGAAGAAAATCTTTGGATTTTGGGATGTTAGCAACCTGTAACTCAAAAGAAACTTTCTTTTTCCTGTCTAGTGACAGTCATGATATTATTGTGACTGACACAGATACATTTCTATTCCTGTTAGAAATTATGGTTACTAAGATAATCTAGGAGTGCTGCATGAACACCAGGTCTTCTTTTCAAATAAAGACATCCAGTACCACAGAAGGCTGAAAGTGACTTTAAATAGTGCTGCTTCTGATTTCTGAGAGTGAAGTTAAAGTTTACTTTTAAGGAAACCTTGCATTTTACACATATGAATGTGTGTTATAATGAACTATTTTCAAATTCTGTGTAAATTACAACAGTAATTTCAGTCAAACACTCAGAAAAAGCTGATAGTGGAAGAGGTATTTTCTCTTTCTGCAGGACTTGAACATTTAGAAGCATTCATACCAAAGGTAGAATTGCCTCTCTCATCTTGACTCTATCAGACAGATGAAAAAATAAAGTACTGGTAATAAGAAAAGAGATTTTATAGATACTCTTCCTGCAAGGGTAGGAAAAACAGTAATTTGATCTGTACCTTTTTTTTTTTGTCCCATTTGAGGGGTGCAGAATTGTTTGTTATGTATTACAATCCATTGGTTAATTTTTCAAGGAGAAACTGTGCTTGGTATGGCTTGCGAGGTCTGACAGGAACAACTGTTAACAAAACATTTCTGTTTGTTCAGTTCTGCAGTGGATCTTGGGATAAAATGCTAAAGATTTGGTCTGCAGGTAAGTCTAAGCTGAGATTCTTGGCCACGTTCAGAACGGTGCTAACAATAACCTGAATGATGGAATATACCTGAATATACTTGAATACCTTTTTCTTTAAGAAAATTTGGTATTTATTAACAAAAGTTATAACTTTTTCTTTTTTTTTTTTTCTTTTTTTCTTTTTTTTTTTTTTTTGCAATAGCTTTGCAAGACTGTAAATAGTATTTTAAGTCACTGTTTTGGTTGGTAACAATTTCAGGTATAGTGTTGAACTGCCTGCTGCTGTTTATTTTATTTAGAACACAAAACTTTGTGTCCATTTCTTTTATTTTTGATGGGTTTATATAAAATGCAGGTTTGAGTATAGACTGTAAAGCAAAGGCCTATGAGTTATTTTTCTGGTCTATTAACACCATAGTATGAAGTAATATGAACACGTAGTATGAAGTAACAAAGTAAGATGGTCAGGTCTTTTTAGTAACATAGACTAATTTTTTTCATTTGAATGTTTTTGGTTTTTTTTACTGTTACAAGATATGCTCTTCTGGCTTAGGAGTATTTATGTGGATGCTATTTCTGAAGGAAAGATTGTATTTACCACATACTTGAATTACTGTTGAGATTTCCCATCAGGAAGGATTGTCTTAAAAATTCTGTGGAAACCTCTAGATCGAGTCTGTCTTCTGTCATAGTCCCTACAGATGAAGAGGATGAGATGGAAGAAGCAGCTAACAGACCACGGAAGAAGCAGAAAACGGAACAGTTGGGACTAACAAGGGTAAGATGAGCTCCAGGCTTGTAGGAGATCGTGAAATGCAGCCGTAGAATATGATTTCTCCTTGTTAATAGTTACTATACAAGAAAAAAATCTTTGGTGATATGTCTGAGGTAGATCAGACATTTTTATTTACTGAAAGGTAGGTGTGTTAATTATGCTCACTTTAATCTCACTTTTAAATCCTAGACTCCCCTGGCAACCCTCTCTGGCCACACAGAAGCCATCTCTTCTGTGCTGTGGTCAGATGCTGAAGAAATCTGCAGTGCATCGTGGGACCACACCATTAAGTTCTGGGATGCTGAGACTGGGGGTCTCAAATCAACTTTGGTGAGATCGCTATACTTCCTATATTCAACTGATGTCCACCTTAAACAAAAATAACTATGCAAAACCAACCAGTAGCTCCTCTTTTAAAGGTTTTTGTTTGTTTGTTTGTTTTTGACAGACAGGAAACAAAGTGTTTAATTCCATTTCTTACTCACCTCTGTGTCGACGTCTGGCATCTGGGAGTACTGACAGACATATCAGACTATGGGATCCTCGTGGCAAAGGTGAGGAGGTGATAAACATGCACAGTCATGAAGGTGTTTTTCCAAAAGCATCTCAAAAGTTGCCTTCTCGTGCCTCTGCTAGAAATAAGCCATTTGGAAACTTTTATTAAATGCAGATATTTCTTCTATTTTCTGTAACTGAGTGCAAGACTACTTTAGTTTCTCATCAAATAATTCAGAAAACTAATTCAACTGGTTTTCACTTTTTTAAAAAACAAACAAGAAATCCTAATAACATACATTCAACTGCATAGTTGCAAACCTGTACTGTTTTATTTTACTTTATTTAAGGACTCAGTCCCTCGGTTTAAGCTGCCACACTCAAATTGGTGGGACCATCATTTAAGCAAAATAGCGGTCACTTTGTTACACTAATGTGGTGCCTTCTTACACAGGAGTGCTAATCACTTAGAACTGAGCCAACTGGATTTATTCCATAGAGACGTTTACTTATTCAGCTTCTACAAATCCAGTCAAGATTTCAACTGTGTTATCCTCTTATTTGATAATAATAAAAGCTTTTTTTTTTTCCCCAAGAATGTTTGAGAAGAGAGTTTAGTGAAATATTTTTTTAATATAAATTCCTTCTACCAGAACTAGTGTGACTTTTTTTGTATGTGTGTTCACTTTGATTTCTGAGATAACAATTGCAGAATACTGGGGACAGACACTTACCTCAGACACAAAGGTGTTGCTGACCAAATTTTGTATGCATCTTAAAAGGGCCAGTTGCAGTTGACATTAACTGTGAGCAGCTTCTTTTTTTCTCCTGTCCAGATGGCTCCTTGGTTCTCCTGTCTCTGACTTCTCACACAGGCTGGGTGACATCTGTGAAGTGGTCACCCACCCACGAGCATCAGCTGATCTCTGGTTCTCTGGACAACATTGTGAAGCTGTGGGACACAAGAAGGTAAAATAAACACATGTCCCATGCTAGTCAAAGGCACGTAAGCTTACAGTGTCAGTTAGCCTAGTGAAATCACAAAGTCAGTGTTAGAAATTCACTGGAAACTCCTGAGGTGATGGTGGAAATCTGCTAGGATTCAAGAGTCAGGCACATAATGAAGAAAAATATTTGTAATCTATTCGAGGACCTTTGGCTTAATCATGAGAGCTGTGTGGTGTTCCAACACAGGACATCACTGATATTAAGGGCAGCGTTGACTGAGAAGCACAAGTTAGGAACCTAATGTTGCTACTGAGGTTAAGAACAGTGGTTCTGCTACACATTCCTCTGCTAAAGAACAAAACATGCTATTTCTAAAGACCAACTCTAATATAATGACATTTCACTTGCTACTGCTTTTGCACTTTTGTACAAATTTCAAATAATGGTCTGCATTCAGGAAACTTAAATGTATTTTTTCCGGGAAAAAAAAAGTACAGTCAAACAGTATCCACATGGAAGAAAAACCTTCATTAGCCTTCTGTCTGAAAGTAGTTTTCAAGCAGGTGAAAAATACTGCTGCTTTTCTCTTTGGGGACGTAAGAGAGTTTAACACTGAAGCAATCAGCTACAGAGAATGCAACAGAAAGGTCACAAATTGTGGATATCCGTACATTGTTAAAGAGTTGAAGTGCTCACTTGATTTCAAACAGGTGACTGTATATACCTGTGTTTTACCAGTTGCAAAGCTCCACTGTATGACTTGGCTGCTCATGAAGATAAGGTTTTGTGTGTGGACTGGACAGAAGCAGGGGTAAGAATGTGAAGAGCGAATCTGCTTAAGCATTGTGGTTAGGAAATGGGCTAAAGGCAGTATTGCTTATGGTATATAGCATGCTTAATGGCAGAAGAGGGGGAGAAGTTTTAGTTGCTTTGGTTGATAGTGGGTAAAAAAGGTGTTGCTGTCATTGCAGTGCTTCCCTGTACAACTGTGAAAGGAGGTAGGATGAGAGTTTAAGTTCCGTAGCACTAAGTGGGCATTATATTCATCTTCCACATGGGGAGAGAAATGAGAACAGCAGCACATCTCACTGAGAAAATACACGTTCCAAGTACCATTTACTGCCAGAGACTAAAGCAGCAGCAAGAATGGAGACATCAGGCATGGCGATGCAAGTAGAAGGGGGAAACTTTGTAATCCTCTGTAGCAAGCTGTTCTGCTACTGTAACGATACAAACATGCAAAATGTTTTTATTATTTTCTGCTAAGGTTTAAAACTCTCAATGTGGCTCCAGTTAGAAAACAGGAAAAGGCAGAAAGAGCTTTAGAAGTTTTCCACAAAAACTTCTAATTCTGGGAGGAGAGCCAGAGACAAAACTGCTCCCATGCTTGGATTCTGAATTTTCATCATGCATTAACAGTTCATCATTTATCATTTCTTCTCATATTTTAAAGGAGAGAAAAATGAGAATTTCTAACATTTGTTAGGGAATTTTGCATAGTTCTGATGTTGACTACAATTTTCTTTTTCTGTCATCAGTTGCTATTGAGTGGAGGTGCAGACAACAAACTGTATTGCTACAGATACCCAGCCACAGCCTCTGATGTTGGAGCATGAAGGTCAACAGCTAGAAGGCATTTTTTTTTTTTTTTTAATTTCAAACTTCCCAGTAGTCACTCTCTGTCAACATCCATACACACCCAACATTTGAATGAAGACTTGCAGTTCAGAGTTGTTCCTACTTTTTGTACTGGTAACCTATATCTGAATTTATAAGAGCAGAACAACAGCCAGCAGCTTCACACATGCTTACTGTGAAACAGCAGAGGGTGTTTCTTCCCATTTTGATGACTTTGTATTTAAATCTTTCAAATGGCTATTTGTATAGCCCTCTTATTAACAGTAAGCTGTTATTGACACTTAGAGGAAAAATTACTGGACTAAATTATTATTTTTTTTTTTTTTTGCATTCACCTGCATTCCCTTTATAAAAAATTAAAGCTTTTATCTAAGTTCGTTGCTCCAGTGCCTCACTTGAAATAAAAATCAGACTTTCAGTAGGTTCACTGGCAGTTCTTAAACATAAACCTTCAGTACACCTAGGAGATATGTAGATTTTGTTCATATACATAAACCTTTTAATAAGAAATTCCACTTAATTAAGGGTATGGTAACTTCCTTCAGTACATTAGGATGAAGCTGGCACAGGATCTACTGCCCAACTATGCAACTCACGGCCATATGGCTGAATTAGATACTTGTTTGTGAAGACTGCCCTGAAAATTTCACAACTTTCCGTTCACAGAAACAACCTACTTAGTTTTACTTTTGCCTTCCTTCCTCCCTTTCAACATAAAAATCCTGCCATAAAACTGTTTTTGAAGTAATTGACCCTGGTACATTAGAAAATGTCATGATTTCATATGGGAAAAATCATCAACAAGTTCCTACAAAAAGAAATTAATGGAAAAATCTTACAGCACAGCACTTCATTATTTAATCATCGTTCAACCCTAGAGTTAGCTGATCCCATCAAACTTCTGCTAAACTGGAAAACAAATCAATTTTCATCTTTTGCAAATAAGATCACTCAAGTCATCGGTCCTACTTTGAAAAGTAGCTTTAAGTCCAATGGCTTATTTTTGGAAATTAGCCTAAGAAGAAATTCTAGAGTCAAAACTAAACCATTTCATAACGTAAAATTCAGTTTAGCTGTGTTTCTTTAGCTGTTCTCACAGCTTGAAGGCTTCATTTTCTAAACTGCAGCCTGACACTATTTTTTGTTTAACTTTTGTTTAAGCATGTTTTCTTGGCCAATGCATGAGGCTATCACTTATGCAAATGACAAGGAAATTCCATGCAAGTTGGGGTTTTCTTGTTTTGTAAATTTCCAGCAAGTACTGAACATATGGTGCTACTGGACTTAACAAGAAGCAGTGAAGACAGCTTAAAAATAAGGGTTTATCAAGTTTCTGCAACCATCTTCTCTGGAGGCAATTATCCTAGCATTTGGGCATTTTAACCTAAAATCAAATAGCTTTTCTTCAACAAAGACCACTTACCAGCTTTTTGGATAACTTTCCTAACCCGCTGCCATATTCAACAGCATAACTACATAGGAAACACAGTTCTTTTAACAGTTCCAATTTCCTTTTTCTAACCCAGGGAACCACCAGGCTCCTGCCCCCTCAGCTCACATCATCAGCACCTCTCCCTCCACCCATACATAAAACGCACTGAGCAAAAGACATGCACCTCTCTTTCAACTTTGTTTTCAGCTGCTAGTGGTAGTGAGGTTTTCCTTAATGAAAATAATCCCATTCGAAGTTTCAATCAGTTTTGTGCAGGCTGATAAATTTCCAGTATAAACTGCATACTTTGCTGGATTTCAGCACACATATGCTAGGAGGCATTTAATTATATATACTTAAAATGGTTTCTATAAATTAAAAATATTTCAGAGCTGGGAAGGAATAGCATATTTATGTAAGAGAATATACCACATATTCACATTTAGTAGGATTAGTTATTGTTCAGTTGTAGGTTTTTGCAAGGTACACAGGTTGTCCTTTCCCCATTTACATCTCTGTTAAATAGTTTCCTTAACTGGATAACTGGAGATAAATGCTGAACATCCTGTTCTGGGAGAGAAAACTAGAAGCTATCCTTGATTTCTGTCCAAATACACAGGTCATTAGAATGGTAACACTATTGGTTTAGCACAGTGGCTGGCCTAAGCTGGCAGCTGACTCCTGCTTGGCCACCTCAGGTAAGAGAAGTCACACACATGCAAAGAGCCCTGCAGATTTGGTTAGGCAGCAACAGGCTATGTACAGTAGCTTATGTTACAAATCACATGTCAAAAAAAATCCCAGTCAAGTTAGAGCCATCATTTGTGTTTCATAGAAACATTTGGCACAGAACTCAAATTAGGGAGAAAATTTGGATGAAAACGAATTGTGAAAACCAATTAAAATAGTCTTTAAATTGTGAGAACACAGGAACGCACCGTTTTTCTGTTGCCAGTACGAAACCGGATCAATCTGATTCAGAAAAGGTAGTGCCCAATCTGCACAAGTCTTATCAAACCATCCAAATCAGGAGGTTTACTCCACGGAATGTGAAAAGCATAACTTAGACCATAAAAACACAAACTGCTGTATCAGATATTCATATTCAGAACTTCCAGATATTAACTTTGCATATCTTTGCAATTTATTCTATTAGGCAACTAATAGCCATGACCAATTTGTGGCACGTTGTCCTAGAGCACCTCAGTATGAGTAGAAATGGTTTTAAAACCAAACAAACATTGAAATAAACACCCTGGAGCTGCTACTGCGACCTTCAGCATGTAATGTATAAGCAATGAAATTTCTTTGACAGTTTGGAAGAACATCCTAATATGAACTAACATTTGGCAAAAAATGCATGGAAAAATATGTCCAATTTATTACAGCAGAACACTCCATTAAGTCACTGATCCCAAAAGCCCTTTCTCCTCGTGTTGTCTACAACATATACATGTAATGTACAGAAGTTCTGATCTTGAGTCAGTATACATCTCCTGTAAACTACATGTGACAGACAGTTGAGATCACTTGGAGGATGACTGGGGGATGCTCACTAACCCAACTGTTCTCCTTTAGCTGTGATGTCTAATCACCTGTCCCAGTTGTTGAAAAGCATTGCAGTTTGTTACTTAAACACACTCACTCCATGGATTTCTGCATACAATGCAAAAGATCAGCTGGTGGTAAGCAAAATGCAGCAGACATAATGGAAACTGAAACAAACTCACCAAAGAATGAAGATGAATATATGGCATCATCTGACACAAAGTTGAATGATAAGCTGGAGGTAAATCCAAGCATCTGTATGTTGCGTCCAAAGGAATTTAGGCATAGAATATGAACATATGAAAATTGCATCATTTTTTCTGGCACTAGCTAATAATTATTTTCAACTGTGCAGTCTCCATCATTTTCGTTATCCAAAAAGCCAAAACATGGTATCAAGTGTTAGAACTGCACTATCGGATTTTGAATTTAACATCAACAAGATGTTGTTCTTCACTCTCAATGGCGTCATTGCCCTGCCTGTGCATTGATCTCTGCATACACTGAACATCTGGGGCTACAACGTACCAGTTTCAAGTTTACTGCATTAACCAAAGTGTTACAATTAAGTTTCTGCAGGATAGATCAACAACTTGCGAGATGGGGCTTAGTTAGGGGCTCAGGACTGTACTCGCTTTTAAAAAATCTATATACAGCAGTAAAGGCTGCGGCATGACATAAATACCTCAATTTGTGTGATTTGAAGTCTGAAGGCTCATTGCTCATCAAACAGTGGATGTGGACACCCAGAGGCATCTGCTGAAAATGTGCACTTTGAACAAAAGCCTGGGATGGGCAGCATATGCGCGCCTTAGTGGGAAGAGTTCTACTCTGATACGTTCTGGTTGCACAATAAACATCTGTTTCCTAATCTCCCTGTTAAAGTAAATACAATCACTTTTTTTTTTTTTATTATTTTTATTTTTTTTATTTTAAAAGCAGATATTTCCATCCCTTGCATCCTTTCTCTTGGTTTTGTATCAACTTTAGCCTGAATCTTTGAAGTTCCGTATAAATTTGGGAAATGGTTATGATAATAATTTAAAGAAAATCAATCAATCTAGATCTGACATAAATTTATGAATATCACCAGGGACCAAAATCTCTTGGGAGACCAGAGTGATCTTTGAATCCCCTATGGTCAATTTTGTATGAGGAACCTTGTATTTCAACAGATCTTGAATTATTAGTTCATTATTTTGGAGGAGTTCATTTGTACACACTGCGAGCTTTTGCAGTTTGCTGACAGTAGGTTAATACTTGAAGGAGGGATAAAGCACAGCTGTTGATGTTACACAAAACACTTTTCTGGAATCAACATGCAAGTTCTTGGAGAACTATCATTGTTTTTTTAAGGATTAAATAAAAGGATTTTGCCACTAAAACCAGTTTAGGAATATACCCCCCAATGGATGGTCTCTCTTGCCTCACAGAAAGCTGCACTATGGTCAGCTGTTACCTCCTGCAGGTTAAAATACCAACAATTACATGCAGCACAGACTGAAACAGACTCTGATTTCAGCTACACCGCTGTAGTTCTAGAGAACAAGTTAAGACAGTGGGGCTTATCAAAATCAATGGGCTTATCAATGGGCTTCTATATTCACAGAGGAGTATCCAAATGCAATTTACAATAATTAATTTGATCTTGTGTCTTGATGCAGCTGAAAATTGAGAGTCAGAACTAGCTAAAAAAAAAAAAAAAAAAAAAAAAAAAAAAAAAAAAAAAAAAAAAAAGCACATTTCACTAAGGTTGTTCTGGAAAAAGCCTTGGGAATAGAATGGTGAGGGGGAAGAGATGATGATTTTCCCCCATTCTAATGCAGTCTATCTTAACAGGGGAAAACAACAGACATTTAGTGTGAAAAGCACTGCCCAAGATGCTGGCACCATGGAATCCAGTATGAGCTCACTCCAGGATGAACATACAAAGGGACTACAATTTCCCTCTTTCAGTTTTACTATTGTCTGATCTGTTGGAATTGAAACATACAAATCTAGAGCATCCTGTTTAAAAGAAGCCATATATATATATATTTTCTTCTTGCAAGGAGTGCACTTTAGAACCCGTACATCATCCCACCATGCACCTTTATGAATCCTTGGGATTTTTATCTGCAATATTGCTTGCTAGAGGTAAACACATGATTATATGATATCAATTTCAGCTGATCAGATCATTGCTGCTAAGAATATAACACTATGTGTAAGATAAATTTATTTTAAGGAAGGAAAATAAATCTATATTGCTATTCTTGTCTCAGCTTGCTGCAGCATAGCGTAGCAACTGAAAAATATTTTCAGCTTTGGGATATATGAATTTTCTCTCTCCTATCTTGGCAGACATGTTTGAAGCTAATCATTTTGCTTAACTGATTTGAGTATTGCTTTTA